TTCCCGTGTTAATCATGTTAATTCCATTTTTCCCGATTCATCCCATGTTTCCCATGTTTACCATGTGAATTCTGTAAATCCCATGTTAATCCTGTGATTTCCGTGTTTCTGATGTTAATCACATGTTTCCCGTGTTAATTCCGTGTTTCATGTGTTAATTCCATGTTTCCCGTGTTAATTCCATGGGATCCATGTTAATCCCGTGGTTCCCATGTTACTTCAATATTTCCCATGTTAATTCAATGTTTCCCATATTAATTCCATGATTCCCGTGTTAGTTCCGTGTTTTCCGTGTTATTTCCATGTTTCCCATGTTAATTCCATATTTCCCGTGTTAATTCCATGTTTTGCTTTTTTCCTGTGTTAATTCCATATCTACTGTGTTAATTCAGTGATTTCTGTGTTAATCCCGTGACTTCCATGTTTCCTGGGTTATTCCAATGATTTCCATGTTAATTCCATGTTTCTGTGTTAATTCCATGTTTTCCATTTTAATTCCATGTTTTCCACGTGATTTCCATATTTCCCGGGATAATTCCATGTTTCCCATGTTAATTCCATGTTTCCTGGGTTAACCCTGTGATTTCCATGTTACCTGTATTAATCCCATGTTTCCCATATTAACTCCATGTTTCCATGTTAATTCCATGTTTTCCATGTTATTTCCATGGTTTCCAGGTTAATTCCATGTTTCCCATGTTAATCCCATGTTTCCTATGTTAAATCTATGTCCTGGGTTAATTCCATGATTCTGTGTTAATCTCGTGTTTCCTGTGTTAAACCTATGATTTCCATGTTTTCCATGTTAATTCCATGTTTTCTGTGTTAACCCCATGTTTCCCATGTTATTTCCATGTATCCTGAGTGAATTCAATGTTTCCTGTGTTAATTCCAAGATTGGCATGTTAAGTCCGTGTTTTGCGTGTTAATCCCGTGTTTTCCCGTGTTAATTCTGTGTTTCCCATGTTAATTCTATGATTTCCATGTTAATTCCATGTTTCCCAAGTTAATCCCGTGTTTCTGTGTTAATCTCGTGTTTCCCGTGTTTATTCCTTGTTTTCCATGTCAATCCCGTGTTTCCCATGTTAATTCCACAGTTTCCATGTTAATTCCAGGTTTCCCATGTTAATTCCAGGTTTCCATGTTAATCCCATGATTCCTGTGTTAATCCTGTATTTTCTGTAGTTCCCGTGTTAATTCCATGTTTCCTGTGTTAGTTCCATGATTTTCATGGTTTCCATGTTATTCTGGGTTTCCTGTGTTTATTCCATGTTTCCCATGTTAATCTCGTTTTTCCCGTGTTTCTGTGTTAATTCCGTGTTAATCCCATGATTTCCATGTTAATTCCGTGTTTCCCATATGAATTATGTGTGTACCGTGTTAAATCCATTTTTCCTGTTTTAATCCCGTGTTTTCCATGTTAATACCGTGTTTCCTGTGTTAATCCCATGCTATCCATTTTCCCCATGTTATTCTTGTGTTTTCCGTGTTAATCCCGTGATTTCCGTGTTTCCAGTGTTAATCCATGTTTCTGTGTTTATTCCACATTTTGCATGTTAATTCCGTGTTTGCCGTGTTAATTCCTTTTATTCTGTGTTAATTCCATGTTTCCTATGTTAATTCCGTGTTTACTGTGTTTAGTCTGTGTTTCCTTTTTTAATCCCGGGATTTCCATGTTTCACATGTTAATTCCATGATTCCTGTGTTAGTTCTGTGTTTCCCGTGTTAATTACATGTTTCCCATGTTAATTCCATGGTTTCAATATTAATTTCATGTTTCCCATGTGAATTCCATTTTTCCTTGTTAATCCCGTGTTTCCGTGTTAATTCCATGTTTCCAGGGTTAATTCCAGGTTTCCCGAGTTAAATCCATGTTTCCCATGCTAATTCCATGTTTCTGTATGAATTCCATGTTTCCTGTGTTAATTCCGAGATTTCCGTGTGTCCGGTGTTAATTCCGTGTTTCTGTGTCAATTCCATGTTTATGTGTTGCTCCCATATTTTCCATGTTTATCCCGTGTTTCCCGTGTTAATTCCATGTTTCCTGTTATTCCCATGTTTCTGTGTCAATCCCGTGATTCCTGTGTTCATCATGTAAATTCCATTTTTCCCGATTCATCCTGTTTCCCATGTTTACCATGTGAATTCTGTAAATCCCATGTTAATCCTGTGATTTCCATGTTTCCAAAGTTGATCACATGTTTCCCATGTTAATTCCATGTTTCGTGTGTCAATTCCATGTACCCGTGTTAATTCCATGATTCCCATGTTAGTTCCGTGTTTTCCATGTTATTTCCATGTTTCCCATGTTAATTCCGTATTTCCCGTGTTAATCCCATATTTCCCGTGTTTGTTCCGTGTTTCCTTTTTTAATCCCGTGATTTCCATGTTTCACATGTTAATTCCATGATTCCTGTGTTAGTTCCGTGTTTCCCATGTTAATTCCATGTTTCCAGCATTAATTCCAGGTTTCCCGAGTTAAATCCACGTTTCCCATGCTAATTCCATGTTTCTGTATGAATTCCATGTTTTCCGTGTTTCCCATGTTAATTCCATGTTTCCTGTGTTAATTCCGAGATTTCTGTGTTAATCCCGTGATTTCCATTTGTCCGGTGTTAATTCCATGTTTATGTGTTACTCCCATATTTTCCATGTTTATCCCGTGTTTCCCGTGTTAATTCCATGATTTCCGTGTTTTCCATGTTTCCTTGTTAATCCTGTTATTTCCGTGTTACCCATGTTAATTCCATGTTTCCCGTTTATTCCGTGTTTCCCATGTTAATTCTTTGTTTCCTGTGTTATTCCTCTGTTTACCACGTTATTCCCATGTTTTCCATATTAATCACATGTTTCCCATGTTACTCCCGTGTTTTCTATGTTTCCTCGGATAATTCCATGTTTCCCATGTTAATCCCAAGTTTACTGTGTTAATTCTGTGTTTCCCATGTTAACTCCATGTTCCGCGTGTTAATCCCGTGTTTTCCATGTTATTCCCATGTTTCCATGTTATTCCCGTGTTTCCCAAGTTAATTCCATGTTTCCCATGTTAACTCCATGTTTCCCGTGTTAATTCCGTGTTCCCCGTGTTATTCCATGTTTCCCATGTTTCTGTGTTAATTCTGTGTTTTGCGTGTTTCCTGTGTTAATCCCGTGAATCCCGTGTTAAATCCATGTTTCCTGTGTTAATTCCATGGTGTCCATGTGCTTCCTACGTTAATCCCGTGATTTCTGTATTTCCCATGCTGATCCCATGTTTCCCATGTTAATCCTGTGCTTCCTGTGTTAATTTCATATTTCCCATGTTAATACCATGTTTCCTGTGTTATTTCCATGAATTCCGTGTTTCTGTGTTTCCCGTGTTAATTCCATGATTTCCATGTTTCCCGTGTTAATTCCATGATTTCCATGTTTCCCATGTTAATTCCATGGTTTCTGTGTTTCCCATGTTAATTCAATGTTACCCATGTTTATTCCATGTCTCCCATTTTAATCCCGTGTTTCCCATGTTAATCCTGTGTTTCCCGTGTTAATTCCATGTTTCCTGTGTTTCTGTGTTAATTCCGTGTTAATCCCGTGATTTCCGTGTTAAATCCGTGTTTTCTGTTTTAATCCCGTGTTTTCCGTGTTAATCCCATGATATCCATTTCCCCGTGTTATTCCTGTGTTTACTGTTAATTCCGTGTTTCCCATGTTAATTTCCTGTTTCTCATGTTAATTCCATGTTTCCTGTTTTAATCCCATGAATCTCATGTTAATTCCATGATTCCTGTGTTAATTCCATGTTTGCCATGTTAATCCCATTTTGCCCATGTTAATCCCATATTTCCCATGTTACTTCCATGTTTCCCTGTTAATTCCATGTTTTCCGTGTTATTTCCATGGTTTCAATGTTAATTCCATGTTTCCTTGTTAATCCCGTGTTGTCCATGTTTCCCATGTTTATTCCGTGATTTCCGTGTTTCCCAATTTAATTCCATGTTTTCCGTGTTAATTCCTTGTTTCTGTATTTATTGCGTGTTTCCTGTGTTAATTCCGTGTTAATTCCATGTTTCCAGCATTAATTCCATGTTTCCCATGTTAATTCCGTGTTTCCCATGTTAATTCCATGTTCCCAGTGTTAATTCTGTGATTTCCATGTTTCCTGTGTTAATCCATGTGTTCTGGTTTAAATCCATGTTTCCGATGTTAATTCTGTTTGCCTTGTTAATTCCGTTTATTCCGTGTTAATCCCGTGTTTCCTATGTTAATTCCATGGTTTCTGTGTTAATTCCATGATTTCCATATTTCCCATTTTAATTCTGTTTTTTCCATGTTAAATCTGTTTCCCGTGTAATCCCGTGTTTCCAGTGTTAATCCCGTGTTTCCCATGTTAGTCCCCTCTTTCCCGTGTGAATTCTGTGTTTCCTGTGTTAATTCCTTGTTTCCCATATTAATTCAATGCTTCCCTGTTAATCCCATGATATCCGTGTTTCCCATGTTAATTCCATGTTTACCATGTTAATCCCATGTTTCCCCTGTTAACCCCGTGATTTCCATGTTTCCTGTATTAATCCCATCTTTCCCATATTCCATTTTTCCCATGTTAGTTCCATGTTTTCTATGTTATTTCCATGTTTCCCATGTTAATCCCGTGTTTCCTGTGTTAATTCCATGTTTCCATGTTAATCCCATGTTTCTCCTGTTTATTCCGTGTTTCCCATGTTAATCCCATGTTTCCTGTGTTAATCCTATTTCCGTGTGTTCCGTGTTTCTGTGTTAATTCCGTGATTTCCGTGCTTACCATGTTAATCCCGTGATATCTGTGTTTCCCATGTTAATCACATGTTTACCCGTGTTAATTCTACACGTCTTCAGGGGTTAAACCTGTTTGTTTCTTTTATGCTTTCCTAGCGTGTCTAGGCATGTTATCCCGTGACCTCTCCGTGAGGCATTTTCTTTTTTCGTTCTTTCTTAGCGGTGTCTTTCTGTGGCTCTGACGAGAAACACGGAACCCGCGGATGTCTCGTTTCACATTTATTGATCGTTTCTTCCACACGTGGAAATCGCATGTAATGTGTTCCTGTGGCCAAAAGCACCACACACATGGACACATACGTGCACAAGAAACCGTGTGTCCAGGAAACTCTCAGAAACAGAAACGGCAGGAAACCCAGAAACACATGCGTGTTCATACATGTGCGCACACACACAAAGCACACGCATCCCCAGTCAGCGGGGCTCACGGGAGGACAGGGGAATGGGGACACACACTTACAAACAGAACACACGCACATACAAACATGTTCCGGCACACAAACCCATGCATGTACAAACACATCACATACACATGTGAACATAGATGAGGACACATGCACACACGCACACAGGCAAACTCATGCGCGCACACAGACATGGGTCAACACATACAAACACGAATGCAAAGAATCACTTAAGCACACGCACATACACGTTCATACATGTGCACGCGAAACCCTCATGCCCTAACATACTTACATGTATGATGGGGGCGTTTCCCGTGTCCTCCTCTCCACGCCACTGAGCACACACGAACCCCGGGGTGGGTGTGGTGGGCAGAGCCTTGGGGGCCGACGCCCTGTCCCCGGGTGCTCCGCCCGCGGGAGCCACGCCCCCCGTGACCACGCCCAGGACCCCGCCCGGGCGTCGGTTGCTCTCGCGGCGCCGCCGCTCCCGCTTGTAGCACAGCGAGGCGAAGGCGACGACGTTGAGCAGCAGCAGGGCGGCGCCCACCGCGAGCGTCACGCTTAGCTCTGCCGCGTAGTCGCACCGCGTCTCGATCAGCACCGCGGCATCCTGCGCCCCGGGGCCCCTGCCCCTTCCGGATCTACTTCCGGGTCTACTTCCGCTTCCGGTTCTACTTCCGGGTTCATTTCCGCTGTGGGGCACGCTCACGACCCTACTTCCGGGTTTACTTCCACTTCCGGGTCCACTTCCGGGTTTACTTCCGCTTCCGGGTCCACTTCCGGGTCCCGGTGTGGCGCCCAGGGCCGTTCGGGCGGGGCGGGGCCCCCAGGAGGTCGCGCAGGCCGTGCAGCTGCGGCACCAGCTCCAGCCAGAAGCCCACCTTGGCCGCGCGGTACTGGTCGCGCACGCGCGGGCGGAGCCCCAGGTGCAGGTCGCGCCGCTCGCGGGGCGTGTAGCGGGCCCAGGGCACCGTCTCGGGGCGGGCAGGGCGCGCGTGGGCAGAGCCGGGGTCCTGGGGCGCTGGGCGGTTCGGGTCCCTGCGGGGCGGGGAGCAAGGGGAGGCGTTAGTGTGTAATTAGCATGCAGTTAGCATGTAGTCTGTGTGCAATTAATGTGTACTTAGCATGAATCTAGTGTGTAATGAGATCCGGTTCGCATGACTCAGGCCACTGTGTTTGTCGCTAGTGAGCGACTCCGGCGCCGTTAGTGTGTAATAAGCGTGTCACAGTCAATGTGCCTGTATGTGATCCCCGCACTGCCTGCATGTTGTTCGCATGTCCGGAGCCAGTTTCTGTGTTCATAGGTAAAAGTCTCGCGTGGCTGGTGTGTGATTGCCGTGGGCTTGGCGAGTTGTCATCACGTCGATAGCATGACCTAGGCCGTTTGTGTTTCGTCAGCACGTCGAGTGTTGGTAGCATGTCATTCCCATGTTGTTTGCCTGCTATGAGCTACTGGCGTGTCGCTGGCGTGCGATTCCCGAGCCTTTTGCGTGTCACACGTGTCTACCATGCGAATCTCGTGTGATTCTCGTGTGCCTCGCATGTTCCGTGCAAGCCACGTGTCCGTTGTCCCACTAGGGCGTGACCGGTGCGTGATTCCCACGTCCTTAGCGTGTAATTCACATGACCTTAGCGTGTGCTTAGCGTGTAATTAGCATGACCGGGCACCAATCGCGGTCCCCGCACGTGACAGTCATGTCTCCCGTGCGCCCCGCCCTCCCCGGCCCCGCCCTCACCCAGTCCGTGTACATGAACTTCACCGCCTCCCGCAGGGTGTGGCTGGCCCCGCCCAGTCCTCGGCGTCGTCGGCGTCGGCCACGCCCTCCTCGGTGTGGTGGGCGTGGTAGGGGGCGTGGTCAGCATCTGGGGCGTGGTCGGCGGGGTCCGGGGTGGGGCCGGGGTCCGGGGCGGGGCCGCCCAGCAGCGCGTCCGCCAGCCGCAGCCCCGCCCCGTGGGCCACGCCCAGCACGACGTCGTAGTTGAGGAATTCCCCCTGGGCCAGCAGCGCCGCAGACCCCGCCCCGCCCTCCGCCTCCGGGTCCCCGCCGGCCACGCCCCCGCGCAGCCCAGCCGCCCCGCCAGCGCCCGCTCCGGGTCGTAGTTCACGGCCCAGCTGGACAGGGCGGAGCCGCTCTGGATGATGGCCCTGTGGAAGAGGCCTGCGGGGTGGGGGAGAGGCGGGGGCACGTCACATGTGTGACACATACGTGACACACGCATGCTGCTTATATGTGGAGCGTGCACTGCATGTGTGACGCTTCGCGTGTAACGTGCATGTTACACACATGACACTGAGGTGTTGCACAGCTGCTGTGCGTGTGGCGATTTCCATGTTGCATGTGTGAAACACACGTGGCACATACAAGAAACCATACATGTGGTGTTAAGGACCCATATATGAACACATGCACGTTTCTACTGTGATACATACGTGTGGCATGTAAGACGGTTCACGTGTCGCACGCGTGTTACATTCATGAGACGGTGCGTGCGGAACGATGGCCGCTGGCAGACATGATGGTTACATATGTGACGCGTGAGCAGCATGCATGATGCATGGGGTTGCGTGAGGGGCTCTGGGAACCGCCCGGCCCCGCCCACCTTCCGCGTGCCGCGACAGCGTGACGAGGCTGACGCAGTTGGCGCCGGCGCCGGAGCCGAACACGGTCACGCGGGCGTGGTCCCCGCCGAAGGCCCCCGCGTTCTCCGCCACCCAGCGCAGCGCCTGGATCTGGTCCTGGAGGCCGTAGTTGCCGGGGGCGGCGGCGTCGCCCGTGCTCAGGAAGCCTGCGGGGCGAGGCCCGGGGCGGGGCAGGCGACACACGCGACGTCACGCGTGTGCGTGGGGAGAACATGCGACGTCATACGTGTGCACACGTGACCACAGGTTACATCATATGTGTTCCCGACTGACATGTGAGGACAGGGGCGACCACGCCCACCCACCACACCCCGCGGGCCCCGGGCGGGGCTCACCCAGCGCGCCCAGGCGGTAGTTCACGGTGACCACGATGATGTCGCCGTAGCTCGGGAGGACGCTGCCGTCGACCGCGCTGCCCGAGCCCTCCACGTAGGAGCCGCCGTGGATGTAGACCATGACGGGCTTCCGGGCGCCGGGGACGGGCGCGTCTGCGGGCGGGGCGGGCGGGGCGTCACTTCCAACACTTCCGAGTTTACTTCCTGTCCCACTTCCGGGTCTATTTCCCCTAACTTCCGGGTCTACTTCCTGTCCCACTTCTGGGTCTATTTCCCCTAACTTCCGGGTCTACTTCCTGTCCCACTTCCGGGTTTACTTCCTGTCCCACTTCCGGGTCTATTTCCCCTAACTTCTTGTCCCACTTCCTCTTCTACTTCCTCGCATTCGTCAGAGTCGACTTCCTGTCACTTCCGGGTTCACTTCCTGTTTCACTTCCCATCCCACTTCCGGATACATTTCCTGTCCCCGTCCACTTCCTGCTCCATCCAACCCTGTCCCCACTTCTCGCCCACTTCCGGGTCGACTTCCTGTGCCGTTTCCGTTTCCACATCACGTTCTGCTCCCAGCCTCACTTCCTGTTCCACTTCCGGGTGTGGAATTCCCCGCCCCAACTTCCTGCTCCACTTCCGTTTCCCCCGCGAGGACTCAGAGCCGGGAAATCCAAGGCGAAACCAGGGACGAAACAGGAAACGACAGGCAGGGGGGAGGAAGTGGGGCAGGGCGGGGCAGGAAACAAAAATAAACCCGGAAATAATGACGGAAAACCCGGAAATGACGAAAAAACCGGAAAACCCCAAAAACAAAGGGGGAAGTGGAGGAGGAAGAGGAAAAAAACCACAAGGAAACCCCGGGCGGGGCCTCTCCTAGGGAGAATACGGTAACCATGCCCCGCCCACCCCGCCTGCCCGTCAACCGGGGCTCATTTGCATGTCCCCGCCCACCCTGGTGCTCGTCCGCCCTCATTTGCATCTCTCATGAATATTCATGGCCTCTGGCTCCGCCCCAGCGTCTCTGTTTATCCAGTGGGCGGGGCCTGCGCGGCGGGGGCGGAGTCGGGGGCGGGGCCATGCAAATGAGCGCTGAGCTCCTGCAGCCACAGCCTGGAGTATTCAGTGCTTGGGGTCGAGCAAGGTCAGCGTGTTCCCGCCCATGCGTGTCGCAGACGTGTTAAGAGAAGCTCGTTATACAGACGTGTGCACGTACGCCTGTGTCGGCGGGATGACACACGCTCCACGCGTGACCTCAGCATGACGCAGGCGAGATCCCCCACACATGTGGCTTCAGAATGATCCCGGCACACATGCGACGTTGGTGTAAAATTTTCATGACGTTAGCGTGGTTTTGCACATGTATGGCGTTACCGCGAATTTAAAACGTGATTCCTTGCATGCATGACAGTAGCATGATCCCCGCACATGTATGATGTAAGTAGGAGCCTGGCGAGATGCTGGCAGGACCCCGCGCATATTTGACATCAGCGTGTTTTCCTCAGCAATGTTGCGGCGCTGGCATAATCAGCATGATGGAAGCATGACGTTAGCATGACCTTAGCATGATCTTAGCATGACCTCAGCATGACGTCAGCGTGACCCCGGCGATTCCGCCCCGCGCTCCCCGGCACTCACCCCCGGGCACGTACAGGTTGAGGTACAGGCAGTCCTCGGCCTCCTCCCCCACGTATGACGCCGGCGGCTGCGGGCACACGGGCGCGAACCGCATGGCATCGCGGACACCGGGCCAGGGCGAGGGGGGCCTCGGGCGGCCGGAAGCGGCGCTCGCCGGTGGGCGGGGCGGCGTAGGCCACGCCCAGGAAGCGCGCGACGGGGCCCAGCCCCTCCCCGGGGCCGCCCGGGAGCGTGGGCGGGGCTGCGGTGGGCGGGGTCGCCAGTACCGGGGCGGGGCAGGCGAGCGCCAGGGCCAGGGCCAGCGCCACGGGCGGGGTCGCGGGGCGGGGCATGACGTCAGTCACGGAAGGGAGGGCGGGGTCAGGGCGGGGTCGGGGCGGGGTCAGGGGCCGCTGGACTCCGCATGGCATCCGGGCGGGGCTGCGTCTGCTGAGGGCGGGGCCTCCCGGCGTCATCTGGGCGTGGCCTGGGCGGGGTCTGGGGGGGCGGAGACAGAGACACAGGGGGATGAAAATAAAAATAATAAAAACAACAACAACAGAAAATAATAATAATAACAATGGGACGAAAACAACAGCGACGGCGACAATAATAATAATAACGGTGACGTCAGATCGCGTGCGGAAGAAAAACAATGATCACGGAAACAACAACAGCGACGGCGCCCGCGGCGATGATAATAATAATAATAATAATAAAGGAAACAACAGCGACGCCGGGGAAACGGCGACGGCGAAATCGATAATAATAATAAAATAAAATGAATATGATGGTGATAATAATACTAAAGACGGCAGCAACAGTAATAATAATAATAATAAAAATAACGCGGGCAAACAACAGCGACGCCACGGCCACGAGTAATAATAATAAAACAACAGCGATGATAAAAACAGTAATAACAATAACATTAATAATAATAATAAAAACAATAACAATAAAACAACAATAATAACGTAACGATAATAATAATAGCTAATACTCACAGCGGCCAACAACAGCGACGATGAGATTAATAATAATGAAAACAATAATTAATAATAATAATGTATGATAAAAACGATAAGAAATAATAATAAACAGTAATAATAACAATTAATAATACCTTAAAATAATAATAACACTGCCAATGATAATAACAATAACTTTAGTAACAACAATAATAATAAACAATAATAATATAAATTACAGTAACATTAATAATAATAATACAACAACAATAATAAACAGTAATAATAAAAAATACAGTAACATTAATAATGATAATAATAACGAAAAAAATAACGATGATAAAAATAACAGCGATAATAACGATAATAATAATAAATAATAACCATAGCGGCCAACAACAGCGACGATGAGACTAATAATAATAATGAAAACAATAACTAATAATAATGGATAATAAAACGATAATAAAAACAACAACAATAAACAATAATGATAACATCGATAATAATAATTAATAATAACAACTTAAAATAATGATAACATTGCCAGTAATAACAATAACTCTAATAAAAATAGTAATAATAATGTATAATAAAAACGGTAATAAAAACAATAATAGTAAACAATAATAATATCAATAACAATAACATTAATAGTAATAATTTATAATAAAAATAACTTTAATAATAATAATAATAATGATAACAACACCAACCCCGCGCCCCGAGCATCAGCGCCGCCCGCGCCCGGAAGTCAGGATCAGAGTAAACAACAGCGATGCCGGCGGCGATGACGATAATAATAACAACGACCGTCACCGCCTGGACTCGCAGGCCCCGCCCTCCCGCCCCGGGGTGGGGCTGGGGGGTGAAAAACCAACCCTGGGGACCCCGGGACCCCGCCACGCCGCGTTTACATGCAGATCGCATGTAACTCGCATGTAGATCGCATGTAATTCGTATGTAATTCGTATGTAATTAGCATGTAGATCGCATGTGGACCCCTGTGACCCGGTTTCACCTCCCGCCCCGCCCCCCGCTCCTCACCCTGTGGCCTCGGGGTCTCCGCTTGGCGTCCTCAGGGGCCCGGCCACGCCCCGCCTCCCGCGGCCCCGCCCCGCCCCGGGGTCTCCAGCCCCGGCCCCTGCGAGCGACGGAAACCGCGGCGGCGGCGGCGGCGGCGGCGGCTGCGGGGCCGGAAGCAGAACCCGGATTCCCCGCCCACCGCGACTTCCGGAACCGGAACCGGAAGCGCCCGACCCCGGCCCCGCCCGCCGGGGTTTCTGCGTCCGTTGTCATTAAAATCCGGGTTTGCCCTGGGTTCCGTGAGGCTTCGTGCGTTTCCGTTTATTTCCGTGAGTTTCCGTGACTTTTCGGGTTTGTTCGTGAGTTTCCGTGAGTTTCCGAGTTTTCCCGTGTGTTTCCGTGTTTTCTCGTGTATTTCCGAGAGTTTCCGAGTTATCCCGTGTGTTTCCGTGTTTCCGTGTTTGTTCGTGTGTTTCCGTGTATTTCCGTGTATTTCCGTGAGCTTCCGGGTTTCTTCGTGTGTTTCCGTGTCTGTTCGTGTGTTTCCGTAGGTTTTCAGTGTATTCTCGTGCATTTCCGTGAGTTTCCTAGCGTTTTCGTATATTTCCGTGAGATTTCGGGTTTCTTCGTGTCTTTCCGTCAATTTCCGAGTTTTCTCGTGTGTTTCCGTCAGTTTCCGAGCGTTTTAGTATAGTTCCTTGAGGTTTCGGTTTTGTTCGGGCGTCTCCGTGTGTTTCCGTGTCTTTCCGGGTCTGTTCGTGAGTTTCCGCGAGTTTCCGGGTCTGTTCGTGAGTTTCCGTGAGTTTCCCTGTATTTTCGAGAGTTTCCGAGCCCCGAGCACTGAGCCGCGAGCATCGTTGCCGCTCCAGATGCTCCTGGCTCAGTGCTCGGGGCTCAGTGCTCATTGCTCGAGGGACTCCTGACTCAGTGCTCACAGCTCCCGACCCCGGGGCCGGCCCCGCCCTGCGTGTCGATGACTTGCGGTGCTCACGGCTCAGTGCTCCCGACCCCGCCCTGGGGGCTCCTGACTCAGTGCTCACAGCTTAGTGCTCGGGGCTCCTGACCCCTGACTCAGTACTCACAGCTCAGTGCTCGGGGCTCCTGACTCCTGACTCAGTGCTCAGTGCTCACGGCTCAGTGCTCGGGGCTCCTGACTCCTGACTCAGTGCTCACGGCTCAGTGCTCGGGGCTCCTGACTCCTGACTCAGTGCTCACAGCTCAGTGCTCGGGGCTCCTGACTCCTGACGGAGTGCTCAGTGCTCGGGGCTCCTGACTCCTGACTCAGTGCTCACGGCTCAGTGCTCGGGGCTCCTGACTCCTGACTCAGTGCTCACGGCTCAGTGCTCGGGGCTCCTGACTCCTGACTCAGTGCTCGCAGCCCCGGGTGCGGGACTCGGTCACCCCCACCCGGAAGTCCCGCCCCGGGGGCCCAGTCAGCGACATTTTTCGCGCTCCAGCGGCGTCACTCGTGGCCCGCCCCGCCCCGCCCCAGGAAGTCCCGCCCCGTGCCGCCGTGACTGACATTTCTGACTCACCGCCCGGAAATCCCGCCTCGCGGCTTCGCGATTGACATTTTCCCTGTTGCCGCCCGGAAGTCCCGCCCCGTGTCACCAAGATTGACGTTTTCACTCTCAAACCCCGGAAATCCCGCCCTACGCAGCCGTGATTGACGTGTTTCAATCTTTTAGTCTGGAAATCCCGCCCCACGGAGCCATGATTGACATTTCCCCTCCGTTGCCGCCCGGAAGTTCCTCCCCAGCCTGCTATGATTGACATTTGCCCGTCTCGACGCCCGGATGTCCCGCCCGGGAACCCGTGACTGACGTTTCCCCGCTGTCGCCGCCCGGAAGTCCCGCCCGCGGCACCGTGACTGACGTTTCCCCGCTGTTGCCGCCCGGAAGTACCGCCCGCGGCTCCGTGACTGACGTTTCCCCTCTGTTACCGCCCGGAAGTCCCGCCCTGGCCCCGTGACTGACGTTTCCCCGCTGTCGCCTCCCGGAAGTCCCGCCCGCGGCCCCCTGATTGACGTTTTCCGTCCGCGCCGTTATTTTTATTTTCGTTTTTTTCCGCCGCCCATGCGTGACGTCAGCGCCGGCCCCGCCCCCGCCCGCCCAGGTCCCGCCCCCGGGGTTGACGCACGCGCGTTCCGTGCGCGCCGGGCCGTGAGGTCACCGCGGGGTCACGCGGATGCCCGGGCGCTGACGGCGTTGGGGGCGTGGCCTGGGGCGGGGCCGGGCGGGGGCGGGGCCTCGGCCGGGTTTATCCGCGCGGGCGCCGCGGGGCGCAGAGGAGTTCGCGGCGGCGGCGGCGCAAACAGCGGCAGAAACAGGCGTGAGTGCCGGGCGGGGCGGGCAACATACATGTTACATACATGTTACATGTGTGTTACATGCGTGTCACACTCGTGTGCGGCGGGGGCGGCGCCGGGGGCGGGGCGCGGGAGTCTGCGCGCCCCGTACACGCGATTTACATGCGTTTTACATGCGGGGGGTGGGGGTCCCGGGGGCGGGGTTTCGGACGTCTGTGCGCGTCGCGTGTCCCGATCGCGTCTGCGTGGGGCGGATCCCGGGGCCGCGTGACAGGCGTGGTTTTGTTTACATATGTGTAACATATATGTGTCACGCGTGTCATGTGTCATGCGTGTTACATGCGTGTGACGTCGGCCTGTTTTCCCCACGTGTGTGTCCTGGGCCCCGCGTCGCGTGTGTTGCCCCCCCCACGCTGACCCCAGCGCCTTTTCCCCTCCCCACAGGCGGAGCCCGGCTTAGCGTGTTCAGAGGAAAAGTCTCATGTGAGTGGGGGGTGGGGCGTGGGACACGCGTGAGGCGGTGCATTAGCATGACACGCGGGGAGGCCGGACACACAAACACCCGCCACAACATACTAAAGCACACTAACAACATGCTAGCATATGCCGAAACATGCGAAAACATACGTAAACACGCTAATGCCCCCGTCTGCCACCCACAGGACGATGGCGACCACGCCCACCCTGGCCCTGTTCCTGCTCCTCCTGGGCGTCACCCGTGCACACAGCGACGGCCCCGCCCCGCGCAGGCCCAACTTCGTGCTCATCATGGCCGACGACATGGGCATCGGGGACCCCGGCTGCTACGGGAACCGGACGCTGAGGTGACGCGGGCGACACGCCTGTTACGTATGCGTGTTACATACATGTGTCATACGTGTTACATACATGTGTCATGCGTGTTCAAGCGTGTTACATACATGTGTCGTGCGTGTTCACGTGTGTTACATACATGTTCACCCGTGTTCTCGCCCCCGCAGGACCCCGAACATCGACCGCCTGGCCCGGGAGGGCGTGAAGCTCACGCAGCACCTGGCGGCCTCGCCCCTGTGCACGCCCAGCCGCGCCGCCTTCCTCACCGGCCGCTACGCCGTGCGCTCGGGTGGGTAAAGCGCGCGTGAACATGTGTGAACACGTGTGTGCGAAAAAAGATTGGCAGTGACTGAACATTCGTGATCACGCATGAACTGACAAAGCTCGTGCGGTCCCGTGTAGGTTTTGAGTTTTGCATGTATGAACTTGAGCGTGTGACGTTGTCTGACCTTGTATGAAGCAAACGTGCGCGAGCACGTATGGATTTTCAATCATCACGTGCGAGCACGCGTGTCCTTGTTTCAGAAGAACAAATTTTCTTAACGTGTAAGTTTTTTTTTTTACGTGTGTGCGAACATGCAAGTTGTTTTCTAATGGAGCGAACATGCTTGAACACGTGTGTACGCGCGCGGATGTCGGTGACTGAGCGCGCACGGGTTTATATGAGCTGAATGTGTGCGCAGTGTACACGCGTGAACACGCGCGAACACGTGTGACGCGAACATGCGCGAACACGCATGATCACACATGACCGTCGCGTGTGCAGGCATGGCGTCGCGCAACCGCGTGGGCGTGTTCCTCTTCACCGCCTCCTCGGGCGGGCTCCCCCCCAGCGAGGTCACCTTCGCGCGGCTGCTGCAGGACCGCGGTTACGCCACGGGGCTCGTGGGTGAGTGCGGGGCGGGGCGGGGCAGGGCGGGGTCCGGGGGCGGGGTCTGGGGGCGGGGCGGGGTCATCCCCACCCCGGGCCACGCCCACACCCGGCCCCGCCCCCCGGACCCCGCCCCGGAGCCGTTTCCCCGGTTTCTCCCTCCCCGACCGGCACCATCCCAACCCCCCCGAGTCATTTTCCCCCGTTTCTCGCGTTTCCCGACCCCGACTCGCACCATCCCAACCCCCCGAGCGGTTTTCACCGCGTTTCCCGTCCCCGACTCGCACCATCCCAACCCCCCGAGCGGTTTTCACGCCGTTTCCCGACCCCGACTCGCACCATCCCAACCCCCGAGCGGTTTCCACCGCGTTTCCCGACCCCGACTCGCACCATCCCAACCCCCGAGCGGTTTCCACCGCGTTTCCCGACCCCGACTCGCACCATCCCAACCCCCCGAGCGGTTTTCACGCCGTTTCCCGACCCCGACCGTCACCATCCCCACCCCCGCCCCCCCCGCCCGCAGGGAAGTGGCACCTGGGCCTGAGCTGCCGGCACCGCGCCGACTTCTGCCACCACCCGCTGCGCCACGGCTTCGGCTTCTTCCTCGGGTTCCCGCTGAGCAACCTCCGCGACTGCCGGCCGGGCGCGGGCTCGGTGTGGGCGGGGCCGCTGGGCGTGGCCGCGGGGGCGGCGCTGCGGGCGCTGGGCGCGTGCGCGGCGGCGCTGGCGGCGGCGCGCGGGGCGGGGCTGGCGCGGGCGCGGGGCGGGGCCTGGGCGGCGCTGGCGTTGGCGTTGGCGGCGCTGGGCGTGGCCGCCGCGCCCCGGGCCCTGAGCCTCGGCTTCCGCCTCGCCAACTGCGTCCTCATGGCCGGCCTGGAGGTGGCGCAGCAGCCGGCGGAGCTCGACGGCCTCGCGGGGGCGCTGGCGGCGCAGGGCGTGGCCTTCCTGGAGCGGTGAGGGCGGGGCCCGGGGGGGCGGGGCCCGGGGCCCGGGGGGCGTTGCCGGCCTCGGGGGAGTTGGGATGGTGCCGGTCCGGGACGGAAAAACCCGAGGAACGGGGCGGAAAACGATGAAAACGGCTCGGGGGAGTTGGGATGATGCCGATCCCGCGTCGCGGGAGGCGCCCGGGCGGGGTCTGGAGGGCGGGGCGGGGCCGGGGCGACCCCGGGGTGGGGTTTTTTTTATCGCCCCGGGGGAGTCGGGATGATGCGGGTGACGGGTTTCGATGTTGTAACGCGGGGGGAGTTGGGATGATGCCGGTCGCGAGTTTTTTTTTTTTCTGTTTGTTTTTGTAGCCATGGGGGGAGTCGGGATGGTGCGGGTGGGCGGGGCCCGGGGCGGGGCGGGGCCTCACGCACGCACGCACGCACGCTGACGCCCGCCCCGCCCCGCCCCGCCCAGGCACGCGCGCGCCCCGTTCCTGCTGTTCGTCTCCTTCCTGCACGTGCACACGGCGCACTTCGCGGGGCCCGGGTTCGCCGGGCGCAGCCGCCACGGGGCCTACGGGGACTCGGCCGAGGAGATGGACTGGGCCGTGGGTGAGCCGGGGGCGCGTCATCGCATGTTATTGCGTGTCGTTGTATGTTAGCGCATGTTAATCGCATGTTATTGTATGTTGCCGCGTGTTTCGGTGTGTTCGCATGAGTTCCCCATGTTTTCGAGTGTTCTCGCGTGTTTCCCATCTCCTCACAGTCTCTCGCGTGTGCTCGCATGGTCTCCTCGTGTGTTTGTCACATGTGAATATGTTTGCACGCTTTCTCAACTCTCCGTGTTCTCTCGCGTTCCTGTGTCTTGTGTGTTTCTCATGCGCTGTTGTGTGTGCTCGCGTGCCATCGCATGTTCTTTCGGGTCTTCCGTGTGCTCCTGTGTGCTCCTGCACCCGCGTGACGTCAGGTGTGCTTGCGTGTTCTTGGGTTTTCTCTGTGTTCTCTCACGTTCTCCTGTGTTTTCGCGTGATCTCCATGTTCTCATTTGTCCTTGCATGTGATAATGTGTTCCTGTCTATGCTCACGCGTTCTTGCATGTTCTCCCACTTTCTCTGTGTTCTCACATGTTCCCCATGTTTCGCATGTCATTGCACGAATGCACGTTGCATCGCGTTATCTCCCGTATTCTCGCGTGTCGTGTTTCTCTGAGTTCTGTGTGTTCCTGATATGTTTCTCATGATCTCGCGTGTCATCACATGCTCTCTTGTGTTTTCCTGTGTTGTCTGTGTTCTCCATGTTATTGCGTGCTGTCACATGTTCTCACGTGTTCTCCGTGTCCCCCCCCCCCCCGCAGGTCAGATCCTGGACGCCCTCGACCGCCTGGGGCTGACGAACGACACGCTCGTGTACTTCACGTCTGACCACGGCGCCCACGTGGAGGAGGTCAGCGCCGAGGGCGAGATGCACGGCGGCAGCAACGGCATCTACAAAGGTGGGGCGGGGCCGGACGCGTGACGGTCGCGCGCGTGTCATACATGTGTCACGTGTGTGACATGTATGAAACATGTATGTAACATATATGTAACACACGTGTGTCACGCTCCGCAGGCGGCAAGGCCACCAACTGGGAGGGCGGCATCCGCGTCCCCGGGATCGTGCGCTACCCGCGCCTCCTCACGCCCGGCCTCGAGGTGTCCGAGCCCACGAGCAACATGGACGTGTTCCCCACGGTGGCCAAGCTGGCCGGGGCGGAGATTCCTTCCGACAGGTGAGAACATATGTGAACACGTATGAACACGCATGTGTGACTTGGCGGTGCCGGAGAATGCTGAAACACACACACATACATGTTGGATTCACGTGTGTGATGGAGAACCCCGTGCTCTACACGCGCACCCGAGTTTTGGGAGACGCCCCGTGATGACACGCGTGGACACGCATGTTCCCCCCACCATCCCACAGGATCATCGACGGGCGTGACATGATGCCGCTGCTGCAGGGCCACGCCCCGCGGTCGTCGCACGAGTTCATGTTCCACTACTGCAACGCCTACCTCAACGCCGTGCGCTGGGCCCCGCCCAACGGTGAGTGCGCCGAGTCACGTGTGGTTGTGAGTGCTACATGCGTGTGCCATACATAGAGCATGCATATTTCCTGCATGTGCCCCGTGTATCATGCGTGTTTCTCTTGTGTGTCATATGAGGCAAATCACGAGTGTGTCACAGATGCCACATATCGCAGGTCCACACACGCATCAGCCATGTTACGTGGACCCGCCATCTATGTCATGCGTGTTTATTGCATTTCTCGCTCGTCTGCCTTTCGTTTCAATTGCGTGTGTCATGTGTCTTGTGCGTGCTACTCGTGTGTGTCACGCCTGTTGGCAGTGTGTGTCTTACACGTGTTACATGTCTGCCGTCCCTTCCCATGCTTCTGGCCTACGCGTGATGTGCATGTCCTGTCATGAGTGTGTCATCAGTCCTACGTGCATATTACATGCATGTGTCATACGTTGTCATACGTGAGTCACGTGTGTGTCATACATGTGTCACGCGTGTGTCATACGTGCCCCCCGCAGAGACCGCCGTGTGGAAGGCCTTCTACTTCACGCCCAACTTCGACCCCCCGGGCGCCAACGGCTGCTTCTCCACGCTCGTGTGCTTCTGCGCGGGCGACCACGTGACGCGCCACGACCCCCCGCTGCTCTTCGACCTCTCGCGCGACCCCGGCGAGCGCCGACCTCTGACCCCGGCCTCGGAGCCGCGGTTCCACGCGGTGCTGGCGGCCATGGCGGACGCGGCCGACGCCCACGCGCGCACGCTCGACCCCGCGGTGCCCGACCAGCTCTCGCTCGCCAACCTGGTGTGGAAGCCGTGGCTGCAGCTGCGCGGCCCGACCGTCGCGTGACGCTGATATGAAGTTGGCATGACGTTGGCATGACCTTAGCATGAAGTTGGCGTGTTCCCGTCACGCGTGGACTCGGCGTGACTCCCCGGGAGGCGTCGAGGCCGACAACTGTGAGCAACGCACGCGACACCGACCACACGCGTGTTACATACGTGACCTTGGCGTGTTCAGGTCGTGCCGCCCCACACACACACACACACACGAAACCCCATGCAGTCAGCACTTTCGGTCACGCGTGACCCCTGTTCCCCGACACGCGTGTCCATTCCCGACCCTGGCACACGCAGCACTTTAGTCCCCGCGACACAGCACACGTATGAAGAATATTTATTCTCCCTGGCCCCGCCCAGAACATCAATAAATCACAGCACTGGGCGTCGGCTCCGTGTCGTCACTTCCGGTTCTGGGTGTGGTCACTTCCGGGTTTGGGCGTGTTCACTTCCGGGTTCGGAGGGGTCACTTCAGCGTCTCAGGGGTCACAGCAATGACATCCGCGTCCCGGGCATGGGCGGAGTCACACGGGGGCGGAGTCTGTGGAGGGGGCGGGGCCTGTGAGGGCGGGGAAACCGGAAGCTCCGCCCCAGACACACCCGTGACAGACCGGAAGTGGGCGTTTCCCGGGAGCGGAGGGGCGGGGCCGCAGCGGGCAGGGGAAGGGCGTGTCCCAGGAGGGGGCGTGGCTCACCCACGCGTCCCAGGCAGCGTTGGCCCCGCCCCGACCGGAAGAAGCCGACGCCCGCGCCCAGCAGCGCCAGGACCACGGCGGAGACCACGGGGGACGCGATGCGCGCGACGCGGGAGCCTGGGCGGGGCGGGCGGGGTCACTTCCGGTCACTTCCGGTCATGCCCACCCGGTGCGCAGCCCCACCCCGACACCCACCGCCTCCCGGGGCCACTTCCGCCCTCACTTCCGGTTCCCAAACCCCGCCCACTTCCGGCCCCGCCCCCTCCCGGGCTTCCCCATCCTCACCGTAGTTGTCGTCGGAGGGCGTGGCTCCGCCTGGGGGCGGGGTCAGAGGTCTTCGGTGATGGACAAAGCCCAGGCCCCGCCCACAACGCCCTGGCCACGCCCACAACGCCCAGACCCTTCCCACACCGCCCAGACATCGCCCACACGCCCAGGCCCCGCCCACTCTGCCCCGGCCCCGCCCACTCTGCCCCGGCCCCGCCCATACAGCCACAGCCCCGCCCATACAGCCACAGCCCGGCCCATACAGCCACAGCCCCGCCCATACAGCTCCAGCCCCGCCCACTCCTCCCAGACACCGCCCACTCCGCCCAGGCCTCACCTTGGGGATCCCCGTGGCCTCCGCTTCCTGTGTGGGGAGAGGAAAAGGGCGGGGCTTACGGGAGCGGGACCGGGGCGGGTGCATTTGCATAAATTAGAATAAATTAGAATAAACGGCAGCCGGAAGGGGAATCAGGGCTCATTTGCATAAGGGGCGGGGCCTCCTTTGCCAGGAGGACTTCCGACCTCACCTGCAACGAAGCCGTCTATGTTGTTACTGTCGCCCGGATGTGGGCGGGGCCGGGGCGGCGGGGGGCGGGGCCGGGGCGGCGGATACACGTCTGCGGGGACAGAGAAGCCGACCCGGGCCCCACCCATGAGTCCCAGGCCCCGCCCCCGGCCTCATTTCCGCCCTAGGCACCGCCCACGGCCTCATTTCCGCCCCAGGCCCCGCCCATCAGTCCCAGGCCCCGCCCCCGGCCTCATTTCCGCCCTAGGCACCGCCCACTGCCTCAATTCCGCCCCAGGCCCCGCCCCAGGCCTCACTTCCGCCTTAGGCCCCGCCCATGAGTCCCAGGCCCCGCCCCCGGCCTCATTTCCGCCCTAGGCACCGCCCACTGCCTCAATTCCGCCCCAGGCCCCGCCCCCGGCCTCACTTCTGCCCCAGGCCCCGCCCATGAGTCCCAGGCCCCGCCCCCGGCCTCATTTCCGCCCTAGGCACCGCCCACTGCCTCAATTCCGCCCCAGGCCCCGCCCCCGGCCTCACTTCTGCCCCAGGCCCCGCCCATGAGTCCCAGGCCCCGCCCCCGGCCTCACTTCCGCTTGGCGGGTCCGGAAGCTTTGGGTCCTCTGGGAGTCGTGGGTAGAGACCTGGGGGGGGCGGGGCGGGATTTGCATGGATTTGCATATATGTAAATGACTCGGGTGACCCGCGCGGTTGGGGACCTCATTTGCATAAACCACGCCCCCGTCCTCAGTGTTGCAAATGGAATCTGCGGAATTTGCATAAACCCTCGGGGCCCCTCCCACTTCATTTGCATGAATCGGGAGACATCTCGATAAAGCGGTGCCCCGCCCTCATCTGCATAAATTAGCATAGGATTTGCATACGGCGGAGCCCGTTGATTGGCCGAAAAGCATTTGCGTACATTTGCATATTAATGAGGGGGAATTGGGCGGGGAAAGGAGGACTGGCCACGCCCCCTCCCGGCCACGCCCCGCACTCACCGCCTCCGCTGGGATTCGAGGTCGGCTCTGAGGAGAAAACAGAAAAACCGAGCACTGAGCACTGAGCACTGAGCCCCGAGCACTGAGCACTGAGCACTGAGCACTGAGCACTGAGCACCGAGCACTGAGCCCCGAGCACTGAGCACTGAGCACCGAGCACTGAGCACTGAGCACTGAGCACTGAGCCCCGAGCACTGAGCACTGAGCACTGAGCACTGAGCACTGAGCACTGAGCACTGAGCACTGAGCCCCGAGCACTGAGCACTGAGCACCGAGCACTGAGCACTGAGCACTGAGCCCCGAGCACTGAGCACTGAGCACTGAGCACTGAGCACTGAGCACCGAGCACTGAGCCCCGAGCACTGAGCACTGAGCACCGAGCACTGAGCACTGAGCACTGAGCACTGAGCCCCGAGCACTGAGCACTGAGCACTGAGCACTGAGCACTGAGCACTGAGCACTGAGCACTGAGCCCCGAGCACCGAGCACTGAGCACTGAGCACTGAGCACTGAGCACCGAGCACTGAGCACTGAGCCACGAGCACTGAGCACCGAGCACTGAGCACTGAGCCCCGAGCACTGAGCACTGAGCCCCGAACACTGAGCCCCGAACACTGAGCACTGAGCACTGAGCACCGAGCACTGAGCACTGAGCACTGAGCACTGAGCACTGAGCCCCGAGCACTGAGCACTGAGCACTGAGCACTGAGCACCGAGCACTGAGCCCCGAGCACTGAGCACCGAGCACTGAGCCCCGAGCACTGAGCACTGAGCACTGAGCCCCGAGCACTGAGCACTGAGCACTGAGCACTGAGCACTGAGCCCCGAGCACTGAGCACTGAGCACTGAGCACTGAGCACTGAGCACTGAGCACCGAGCACTGAGCACTGAGCACTGAGCACCGAGCACTGAGCACTGAGCACTGAGCACCGAGCACTGAGCACTGAGCACTGAGCACTGAGCACCGAGCACTGAGCACTGAGCACTGAGCACTGAGCCCCGAGCACTGAGCCCCGAGCACTGAGCACTGAGCACTGAGCACTGAGCCCCGAGCACTGAACACTGAGCACTGAGCACTGAGCCCCGAGCACTGAGCACTGAGCACTGAGCACTGAGCACTGAGCACCGAGCACTGAGCCACGAGCACTGAGCACTGAGCCCCGAGCACTGAGCACTGAGCACTGAGCACTGAGCACTGAGCACCGAGCACCGAGCACTGAGCACTGAGCACTGAGCACTGAGCACTGAGCACCGAGCACCGAGCACTGAGCACTGAGCACTGAGCCCCGAGCACTGAGCACTGAGCACTGAGCACTGAGCACTGAGCACTGAGCACCGAGCACTGAGCACCGAGCACTGAGCATTGAGCCCCGAGCACTGAGCACTGAGCCCCGAGCCCCGAGCACTGAGCCCCGAGCACTGAGCCCCGAGCACTGAGCACTGAGCACTGAGCACTGAGCACCGAGCACTGAGCACTGAGCACTGAGCACCGAGCACTGAGCCCCGAGCACTGAGCCCCGAGCACTGAGCCCCGAGCACTGAGCACCGAGCACTGAGCCCGAGCACTGAGCACTGAGCACTGAGCACTGAGCCCCGAGCACTGGGCCCGAGCACCGAGCACTGAGCCCCGAGCACTGGGCCCGAGCACTGAGCACTGAGCCACGAGCACTGAGCCCCGAGCACCGAGCACTGAGCACTGAGCCCGAGCACTGAGCACTGAGCACCGAGCACTGAGCACCGAGCACTGAGCACTGAGCCACGAGCACTGAGCCCCGAGCACTGAGCACTGAGCACTGAGCACTGAGCACTGAGCACTGAGCCCGAGCACTGAGCACTGAGCACTGAGCACCGAGCACTGAGCACTGAGCCCCGAGCACTGAGCCCGAGCACTGGGCCCGAGCACTGAGCACTGAGCCCGAGCACTGAGCACTGAGCACTGAGCACTGAGCACCGAGCACTGAGCACTGAGCACTGAGCACCGAGCACTGAGCACCGAGCACTGAGCACCGAGCACTGAGCCCCGAGCACTGAGCACCGAGCACTGGGCCCGAGCACTGAGCCCGAGCACTGAGCACCGAGCACTGAGCCCCGAGCACTGAGCACTGAGCACTGAGCACTGAGCCGCGAGCACTGAGCCCCGAGCACCGAGCACTGAGCCCCGAGCACTGAGCACTGAGCCACGAGCACTGAGCCCCGAGCACCGAGCACTGAGCACTGAGCACTGAGCACTGAGCACTGAGCACTGAGCACTGAGCCCCGAGCACTGAGCACTGAGCACTGAGCACTGAGCACTGAGCACTGAGCACTGAGCACTGAGCACCGAGCACTGAGCACTGAGCACCGAGCACTGAGCACTGAGCACTGAGCACTGAGCCCCGAGCACTGAGCACTGAGCACTGAGCACTGAGCACTGAGCACCGAGCACTGAGCCCGAGCACTGAGCACTGAGCACCGAGCACTGAGCACTGAGCACTGAGCACCGAGCACTGAGCACCGAGCACTGAGCCCCGAGCACTGAGCACTGAGCACTGAGCACTGAGCACCGAGCACTGAGCACTGAGCACCGAGCACTGAGCACTGAGCACCGAGCACTGAGCACCGAGCACTGAGCACTGAGCACTGAGCACTGAGCCCCGAGCACTGAGCACTGAGCACTGAGCACTGAGCCCCGAGCACTGAGCACTGAGCACTGAGCACTGAGCACTGAGCACCGAGCACTGAGCCCCGAGCACTGAGCACTGAGCACCGAGCACTGAGCACTGAGCACTGAGCACTGAGCACTGAGCACCGAGCACTGAGCACTGAGCACCGAGCACTGAGCACTGAGCACTGAGCCCCGAGCACTGAGCACAGAGCACCGAGCACTGAGCACCGAGCACTGAGCACCGAGCACTGAGCACTGAGCACTGAGCACTGAGCACTGAGCCCCGAGCACTGAGCCCGAGCACTGAGCACTGAGCACTGAGCACTGAGCACTGAGCCCCGAGCCCCGAACACTGAGCATTGAGCACCGAGCACTGAGCCCCGAGCACTGAGCACTGAGCACTGAGCACTGAGCACCGAGCACTGAGCCCGAGCACTGAGCACTGAGCACTGAGGCACTGAGCACTGAGCACTGAGCACCGAGCACTGAGCCCGAGCACTGGGCCCCGAGCACTGAGCACTGAGCACTGAGCACCGAGCACTGAGCACTGAGCACTGAGCCCCGAGCACTGAGCACTGAGCACTGAGCCCCGAGCACTGAGCACCGAGCACTGAGCACTGAGCACTGAGCACCGAGCACTGAGCACCGAGCACTGAGCCCTGAGCCCCGAGCACTGAGCACCGAGCACTGAGCACTGAGCCCGAGCACTGAGCACTGAGCACTGAGCACTGAGCCCGAGCACTGAGCCCCGAGCACCGAGCACTGAGCACCGAGCACTGAGCCCCGAGCACTGAGCACTGAGCACTGAGCACTGAGCACTGAGCACTGAGCCCCGAGCACTGAGCACCGAGCACTGAGCCCCGAGCACTGAGCACTGAGCACCGAGCACTGAGCACTGAGCACTGAGCACCGAGCACTGAGCACCGAGCACTGAGCCCGAGCACTGAGCACTGAGCACTGAGCACTGGGCCCCGAGCACTGAGCACTGAGCACTGAGCACCGAGCACTGAGCACTGAGCCCGAGCACTGAGCACTGAGCCCGAGCACTGAGCACCGAGCACTGAGCACTGAGCACTGAGCACTGGGCCCGAGCACTGAGCACTGAGCACTGAGCACTGAGCACTGAGCACCGAGCACTGAGCACTGAGCACCGAGCACTGAGCACTGAGCCCGGCACTGAGCACTGAGCACTGAGCCCCGAGCACTGAGCCCCGAGCACTGAGCACTGAGCACTGAGCCCGAGCACTGAGCACTGAGCACTGAGCCCGAGCACTGAGCACTGAGCCCCGAGCACTGAGCACTGAGCACTGAGCCCGAGCACTGAGCACTGAGCACCGAGGCACTGAGCACTGAGCACTGAGCACCGAGCACTGAGCACTGAGCACTGAGCACCGAGCACTGAGCCCCGAGCACTGAGCACTGAGCACCGAGCCCCGAACACTGAGCACTGAGCACTGAGCACCGAGCACTGAGCACCGAGCACTGAGCCCCGAGCACAGAGCACTGAGCCCCGAGCACAGAGCACCGAGCCCCGAGCACTGAGCACTGAGCACCGAGCACTGAGCACTGAGCACCGAGCACTGAGCCCCGAGCCCCGAGCACTGAGCACTGAGCACTGAGCCCCGAGCACTGAGCACCGAGCACTGAGCACTGGGCCCGAGCACTGAGCCCCGAGCACTGAGCACTGAGCACTGAGCACTGAGCACTGAGCACTGAGCACTGAGCCCCGAGCACTGAGCCCCGAGCACTGAGCCCCGAGCACTGAGCACTGAGCCCGAGCACTGGGCCCCGAGCACTGAGCACTGAGCCCGAGCACTGAGCCCCGAGCACTGAGCCCCGAGCACTGAGCACTGAGCCCCGAGCACTGAGCACTGAGCCCCGAGCACTGAGCACTGAGCACTGAGCACTGAGCACTGAGCACTGAGCACTGAGCACTGAGCACCGAGCACTGAGCACTGAGCACTGAGCACTGAGCCCCGAGCACTGAGCACTGAGCACTGAGCACTGAGCCCCGAGCACTGAGCACTGAGCACTGAGCACTGAGCACTGAGCCCCGAGCACTGAGCCCCGAGCACTGAGCACTGAGCCCCGAGCACTGAGCACCGAGCACTGAGCACTGAGCCCCGAGCACTGAGCACTGAGCACTGAGCACTGAGCACTGAGCACTGAGCACTGAGCACTGAGCCCCGAGCACTGAGCCCCGAGCCCCGAGCACTGAGCACCGAGCACTGAGCCCCGAGCACTGAGCACTGAGCACTGAGCACTGAGCCCGAGCACTGAGCACTGAGCACTGAGCACTGAGCCCCGAGCACTGAGCACTGAGCACTGAGCACCGAGCACTGAGCACTGAGCCCCGAGCACTGAGCACTGAGCACCGAGCACTGAGCACTGAGCACTGAGCCCCGAGCACTGAGCACTGAGCCCCGAGCACTGAGCACTGAGTCCCGAGCACTGAGCACTGAGCACTGAGCACTGAGCACCGAGCACTGAGCACCGAGCACTGAGCCCCGAGCACTGAGCACTGAGCACTGAGCACTGAGCACTGAGCACTGAGCACCGAGCACCGAGCACTGAGCACTGAGCCCCGAGCACTGAGCACCGAGCACTGAGCACTGAGCCCCGAGCACTGAGCACTGAGCACCGAGCACTGAGCACTGAGCACTGAGCCCCGAGCACCGAGCACTGAGCCCCGAGCACTGAGCACTGAGCACTGAGCACCGAGCACTGAGCACCGAGCACTGAGCCCCGAGCACAGAGCACTGAGCACTGAGCACTGAGCACCGAGCACTGAGCACCGAGCACCGAGCCCCGAGCACTGAGCACTGAGCCCCGAGCACTGAGCACCGAGCACTGAGCCCCGAGCACTGAGCACTGAGCCCCGAGCACTGAGCCCCGAGCACTGAGCACTGAGCACCGAGCACTGAGCACTGAGCACTGAGCACTGAGCACTGAGCCCCGAGCACTGAGCACTGAGCACCGAGCACCGAGCACTGAGCACTGAGCCCCGAGCACTGAGCACTGAGCACCGAGCACTGAGCACCGAGCACTGAGCACTGAGCACTGAGCACTGAGCCCCGAGCACTGAGCCCAGAGCACTGAGCACTGAGCACTGAGCCACGAGCACTGAGCACTGAGCACTGAGCACTGAGCCCCGAGCACTGAGCACTGAGCACCGAGCACTGAGCCCCGAGCACTGAGCACTGAGCACTGAGCCCTGAGCACTGAGAACCGAGCCCCGAGCACTGAGCACTGAGCCCGAGCACTGAGCACTGAGCACTGAGCACTGAGCACTGAGCCCCGAGCACTGAGCACTGAGCCCCGAGCACTGAGCACTGAGCACTGAGCACTGAGCACTGAGCACTGAGCACTGAGCCCCGAGCCCCGAGCACTGAGCACTGAGCACTGAGCACTGAGCACTGAGCCCCGAGCACTGAGCACTGAGCCCCGAGCACTGAGCACCGAGCACTGAGCCCCGAGCACTGAGCACTGAGCACTGAGCACTGAGCCCCGAGCACTGAGCACTGAGCACTGAGCCCCGAGCACTGAGCACTGAGCCCCGAGCACTGAGCACTGAGCACTGAGCACCGAGCACTGAGCCCCGAGCACTGAGCCCCGAGCACTGGGCCCGAGCACTGAGCACTGAGCACTGAGCACTGAGCCCGAGCACTGAGCACTGAGCACCGAGCCCCGAGCACTGAGCACTGAGCCCCGAGCACTGTGCACTGAGCACTGAGCACTGAGCACTGAGCACTGAGCACTGAGCACTGAGCACTGAGCACTGAGCCCCGAGCACTGAGCAGTGAGCACCGAGCACTGAGCACTGAGCCCCGAGCACTGAGCACCGAGCACTGAGCACTGAGCCCCGAGCACTGAGCACTGAGCACCGAGCACTGAGCACTGAGCCCCGAGCACTGAGCACTGAGCACTGAGCACTGAGCACTGAGCCCCGAGCACTGAGCACCGAGCACTGTGCACTGAGCACTGAGCACTGAGCCCTGAGCACCGAGCACCGAGCACCGAGCACTGAGCCCCGAGCACTGAGCACTGAGCACTGAGCCCTGAGCACCGAGCACTGAGCACTGAGCACTGAGCACTGAGCACTGAGCACTGAGCACTGAGCCCCGAGCACTGAGCACTGAGCACTGAGCCCCGAGCACTGAGCCCCGAGCACTGAGCCCCGAGCACTGAGCCCCGAGCACTGAGCACTGAGCACTGAGCACTGAGCCCCGAGCACTGAGCACTGAGCACCGAGCACTGAGCACTGAGCACTGAGCACCGAGCACTGAGCACTGAGCACTGAGCACTGAGCACTGAGCACTGAGCACTGAGCACTGAGCCCCGAGCACTGAGCACTGAGCACCGAGCACTGAGCACTGAGCACTGAGCACCGAGCACTGAGCACTGAGCACTGAGCACTGAGCACCGAGCACTGAGCACTGAGCACTGAGCACTGAGCCCCGAGCACTGAGCACCGAGCACTGAGCAGTGAGCACTGAGCACCGAGCACTGAGCACCGAGCACTGAGCACCGAGCACTGAGCACTGAGCACCGAGCACTGAGCCCCGAACACTGAGCACTGAGCACTGAGCACTGAGCACTGAGCCCCGAGCACTGAGCACTGAGCACTGAGCACTGAGCACTGAGCCCCGAGCACTGAGCACTGAGCACTGAGCACTGAGCCCCGAACACTGAGCACCGAGCACTGAGCACTGAGCACTGAGCACTGAGCACTGAGCCCCGAGCACTGAGCACCGAGCACTGAGCACTGAGCACTGAGCCCCGAGCACTGAGCACTGAGCCCCGAGCACTGAGCCCCGAGCACTGAGCACTGAGCCCCGAGCACTGAGCACCGAGCACTGAGCACTGAGCACTGAGCACTGAGCCCCGAGCACTGAGCACTGAGCACCGAGCACTGAGCACTGAGCCCCGAGCACTGAGCACTGAGCCCCGAGCACCGAGCACTGAGCACCGAGCACTGAGCACTGAGCACTGAGCCCCGAGCACTGAGCACCGAGCACTGAGCACTGAGCACTGAGCCCCGAGCACTGAGCCCTGAGCACCGAGTCCAGGCCCCGCCCTCACCTGCGTCGTCCAGGGCGTCAGCCAGGTCGAAGTCACCGTCGTCACCTGGGGGCGGAGTCAGGGCGCCTGTCAGTCATGGAAGCCCCGCCCCGCACGGCCCCGAGGCCCCGCCCACATCACTGAGTCCCGACACCATTGGTTCAGATGCACCCGTATGCAAATGAGGGGCGGGGGAGCCAATGGCGTGTTGATATGTAAATGAGTGGGCGGGGGTTAGAGGACCGAAACCCAATGGCTTCCGGTTATGCAAATGAGTATTCAAATGAGCGGGGCGGAGCCACGCTGAGGAACCCGATGGGCCGCCAATGGCGTCCGGATATGCAAATAATCGGGGGTGTGGTCATGCAAATCACTCTCAAAGTGGGGCTCGGGTATGCAAATGAGAGGCGGGGCTACATGAACAAACCACGCGGCAACCAATGGCGTCCGGATATGCAAATGAGCATCCAACTAAGGGGCGGAGCCATGCACGTTCCACCCCAAAGCGAGCCAATGGCGCGCGAATATGCAAATGCAAGCCCCAGAAGCCCCGCCCCTTCCCCATTCAGGGTTAGGGTTAGGGATACGATCCTGGAAGGGAGCCGGGGCTGATATGCATATGCAAATGAGAGGCGCGTGGTCCCCATGGCAACCAAGGCGCTGGGCGGGGCTTCCGTATCCCAGCCGTGGCTGATTTGCATATGCAAATGAGCGGCGCGGGGTCCCCATGGCAACCAAGGCGCTGGGCGGGGCTTCCGTCTCTCAGCCGTGGCTGCTTTGCATATGCAAATGAGCGGCGCGGGGTCCCCATGGCAACCAAGGCGCTGGGCGGGGCTTCCGTCTCTCAGCTATGGCTGCTTTGCATATGCAAATGAGAGGCGCGGGATCCCCATGGCAACCAAGGCGCTGGGCGGGGCTTCCGTCTCTCAGCTATGGCTGCTTTGCATATGCAAATGAGAGGCGCGGGATCCCCATGGCAACCAAGGCGCTGGGCGGGGCTTCCGTCTCTCAGCTATGGCTGCTTTGCATATGCAAATGAGAGGCGCGGGATCCCCATGGCAACCAAGGCGCTGGGCGGGGCTTCCGTCTCTCAGCTATGGCTGCTTTGCATATGCAAATGAGCGGCACCCAGGACCCAGCACCCAGCACCCAGCACCCAGCACCCAGCACCCAGCACCCAGGACCCAGCACCCAGCACTGAGCACCCAGCACCGAGCACCCAGCACCCAGCACCCAGCACCCAGCACCCAGCACCCAGCACCCAGCACCCAGCACCCAGCACCCAGCACCCAGCACCCAGGACCCAGCACCCAGCACCCAGCACCCAGCACCCAGCACCCAGCACCCAGGACCCAGGACCCAGGACCCAGGACCCAGGACCCAGCACCCAGGACCCAGGACCCAGCACTGAGCACCCAGCACCCAGCACCCAGCACCCAGCACCCAGCACCCAGGACCCAGGACCCAGCACTGAGCACCCAGCACCCAGCACCCAGCACTGAGCACCCAGCACCCAGCACCCAGCACCCAGCACCCAGCACCCAGGACCCAGCACCCAGCACCCAGCACCCAGGACCCAGCACTCAGCACCCAGCACCCAGGACCCAGCACCCAGCACCCAGCACCCAGGACCCAGGACCCAGCACCCAGCACCCAGGACCCAGCACCCAGGACCCAGCACCCAGCACCCAGCACTGAGCACCCAGCACCCAGCACCCAGCACCCAGCACCCAGGACCCAGCACCCAGCACCCAGCACCCAGGACCCAGCACCCAGCACCCAGCACCCAGCACCCAGGACCCAGCACCCAGCACCCAGCACTGAGCACCCAGCACCCAGCACCCAGGACCCAGCACCCAGCACCCAGCACCCAGGACCCAGCACCCAGCACCCAGCACCCAGGACCCAGCACCCAGCACCCAGCACTGAGCACCCAGCACCCAGCACCCAGGACCCAGCACCCAGCACCCAGCACCCAGCACCCAGCACTGAGCACCCAGGACCCAGCACCCAGCACCCAGCACCCAGCACCCAGCACCCAGCACCCAGCACCCAGCACCCAGCACCCAGGACCCAGCACCCAGGACCCAGGACCCAGCACCCAGCACCCAGGACCCAGCACCCAGCACCCAGCACCCAGGACCCAGCACCCAGGACCCAGGACCCAGCACCCAGCACCCAGCACTGAGCACCCAGCACCCAGCACCCAGCACCCAGCACTGAGCACCCAGCACCCAGCACCCAGCACCCAGGACCCAGGACCCAGCACCCAGCACCCAGCACCCAGCACCCAGCACCCAGCACCCAGCACTGAGCACCCAGCACCCAGCACCCAGCACCCAGGACCCAGCACCCAGCACCCAGGACCCAGGACCCAGCACCCAGCACCCAGCACTGAGCACCGAGCACTGAGTACCGAGCACTGAGCACCGAGCACTGAGCACCGAGCACTTTGAGCTGAGTTTTTCCCCCCCCCCGCGTGCTGGGTGCTTGGTGCTCAGTACCCCGGCCCCGCCCCCCCCACTCACCGCGCGCGGCCCCCAGGAGACTCAGCGCCAGCACCACCGAGGCCCACGGCGTCGCCATGGCCGGGATCCGGGGTCGGGCGCGGCCCGGGTTTCCCAGGAGGCCCCGGGCGGGTGCTGGGAGCTGAGTGATCCGACCGGTCGGGCCGGGAGGACGGGGTGGGGCGGGGACGCGGGCGGGGTCAGGGCTGGGGCCCGGGGCTCAGTACTCGGTGCTCAGTGCTCAGTGCTCGGTGCTCACTGCTCAGTGCTCAGTGCTCGGGGCTCAGTGCTCGGGGCTCAGTGCTCAGTGCTCGGTGCTCAGTGCTCGGGGCTCAGTGCTCAGTGCTCGGTGCTCAGTGCTCAGTGCTCGGGGCTCAGTGCTCGGTGCTCAGTGCTCAGTGCTCAGTGCTCAGTGCTCGGGGCTCAGTGCTCAGTGCTCAGTGCTCAGTGCTCGGTGCTCAGTGCTCGGGGCTCAGTGCTCAGTGCTCGGTGCTCAGTGCTCGGGGCTCAGTGCTCAGTGCTCGGGGCTCAGTGCTCAGTGCTCAGTGCTCAGTGCTCGGGGCTCAGTGCTCGGGGCTCAGTGCTCAGTGCTCGGGGCTCAGTGCTCGGGGCTCAGTGCTCAGTGCTCAGTGCTCGGGGCTCAGTGCTCGGGGCTCAGTGCTCAGTGCTCGGGGCTCAGTGCTCGGTGCTCAGTGCTCGGGGCTCAGTGCTCGGTGCTCACGCCCTGGAAGTCCCGCCCCCGGAAGTCTCTCACCGGAAGTCCCTCCCCTGAAGCCCCGCCCGGGAAATCCCGCCCCCAATGATTGACAGGCGCAGTTGGGGTCCACACGGCTTTTATTGGCTCTGGAGACCCGGGGTCAGCAGGGGTCAGCGGGGGTCACAGGGGTCACCACGCCCCAGGCACTTGGCGGCTTCCGGGTGGGGGCGTGGCCAGGGCGTCAGTGGGCGTGGCCGCGCTGTCTGAGGCCCCGCCCCAACAAGGCACTGGGAAGTAAAAAAATCCCCGCATGCAAATGAGCAAGCGAAGCTCCGCCCCGGATATTTGAATATGTAAATGAGCGGCAACAGGAATCCCGGGGATGATTGACGGGCGCCGGGCCCTGCCCCTGACGTCAGGGCGGCACAAGCGCAGCCATTCCCGGATATGTAAATGAGCAGCCGATCAGGGGCGTGGCTATGCTAATAATACCAGCTGCGAGCCAATGGCGCCCGGACATGCAAATGAGAAGTGGTTCCAGGGGCGGGGCTATGCAAATCGCTCCCGACTGAGAACCAATGGCGCCGAGATATGTAAATGAGCACCACAAGGGCCGCGGGGCGGGGCTATGCAAATGGCCACAGGACTTAAACAATGGCACGCTTATATGCAAATGAGCTTTCAGCTCCCAATAGGGAACCAATGGCACTTGGATATGTAAATGAGCACCGCGATGGTGGCGGGGCTATGCAAATCGGCCCCAGCCGAGAACCAATGGCGCTGAGTTATGCAAATGCGAGGCCGACTCAGGGGCGGGGCCATTCAACTCCTCTCTAATTGGGAACAAATGGCACCGCGTTATGCAAATGAGGGGCGCCTGGCCCCGCCCATCCCGCAGGGCTCTATGGAGAGATGCAAATGCGCCTCCGGCCTGATTTGCATATGTAGATGAGCGGCCTCCGGGTCCCTCGGGCTGGAGAAGCAGCAGTGGCTGGAGGGGGCGTGGCCACGGTGACGTCAGCGGCCATGGCAACATGGGGCGGCTACACGGGGGCGGGGCCTGCGGGAGAAAACAGGAAGTGAGAGGAGGCCACGCCCCGTGGTGCCCACCATGGGGTTTCCAGCCACGCCCACGATCCCTGGAGCCCCGCCCAGGCCCCGCCCCGTCCCGGAAGCCCCGCCCGCTCACCGCTCTCCCGGAAGCACAGGCGCTTCTTCTGATAGGCCACGAAGCTCGACACTGCCCCGGCCAGGGCGGCGACCACCGCGGCGACCACGCCCGGGACCAGGCCCTGGGGCGTCCCTGGGGGAGAGGGCGGGGTCAGGGCTCGGTAGAAGGGCGTGGTTATGGAGGGGGCGGGGTCAGGGCTCGGGAGATGGGCGTGGTTATGTCTCCAGGGCCGTGGTTACGTCTCTGGGGGCGTGGTCAGAGCTCAGGGGGGCGTGGTCAGAGCTCAGGGGGCGTGGTCAGAGCGCCAATCTCACTCCTCCCGGCCGCGCCCTGCCTACCTTCCGCTTCCGGCTCCTCCCCTTTAGGGCCAGCTCCGCCTCCCGGGCCTGGAAAAGAGGGCGGGGTCTGGGTGGGTGGGGCTTAGGGACGCCAGGGGCCGTGGTTCCCGCGGTAATGACCTCCAGGGGGCGTGGTTTTCCCGAGAGTAACGCCCAGGGGACGGGGCTTCCCTCTCGATTGCCATCGGGGGGCGGGGTTTCCCGTTGTGTCGTCCATGGGGTGGGGTTTACCCGTGATAGACAGCAGGGGGCGGGGTTCCCCGTGAGTGACAGCAGGGGGCGGGGTTTCCCCGTGAGTGACAGCAGGGGGCGGGTTTTCCCTGTAACTGACGACCTGGGGGCGTGGTTTCGGGTGATTGACAGCGGGGGCGGGGCCTCCCTTGAGTGACAGCAGGGGGCGGGGCCTCCCGTGACTGACAAGGGGGGCGGGGCCTCACCTCTGGGGTCGGCCGCGTCCTCCAGGCTGAAGTCGTCTGGGTTTTGTTGATGTGGTTCAGGGTGCGGTGGGCGTGGCCGGTGACGTCCAGGGTCGTGGGGCGGGGCGTCGGGGTCGCAGGGCGGGGCGTCAGGATAGAAGGAAGCACAGGGGGCGGGGCCGGGTTAGCAGGGGGGGGAGAAGCACAGAGTCTCCGGGAGACACAATTACCATATATGCAAATGAGCGGGCGGGGACCGAGGGATGTGATTGGCGCGATGTGCATACGATTTGCATGCGATTAGCATAAGGAGATCGCATTGGGCTCTGAGAAACGGCAGCGCGGCCTCATTAGCATACGATTAGCATAAGCCCCGCCCCATCCCCAGTTTTACTGGGGCTACGTGCATTTGCATAGATTTGCGTAGCCCCACCCACCGCGCGCTCGGCCCAATGGAAAGCGACCGCAGCCGCGTCGATTTGCATAGCCCCGCCCCTCATTAGCATGCCCCCGAGGCCACGCCCACCTCCTGCAGGCTGAGGTTTCTTTGGCTCCGGTCTGGGCGACTGCGGTGGGCGGGGAGGGGCGGGGTCTGCGGGAGGAGAAGGGGCGGGGCTTCAGAGGGGCGGGGCCTCACCAAGGGGGATTAAATCCCCGCCCCCCTTCCCCAGGCCCCGCCCCCCGCTCCTCACCGTCTCCATCCAGGGCGTCGCTGAGGTCGAAACCTGTGGGCGGGAGGGGCGTGGCCGATGAGAGGGGGCGTGGTCACGGGAGGGGCGGAGACAGGGGTCTAAGGGGCGGAGCCAGGGCACCGGATGAGTGACGGGGAAGGGGCGGGGCTTCCCGGGCGTCCGTGATGGCCAATGGGGCCGGATCTAAGGGGAGGGGGAGGCCCAGGGGGCGGAGTCCCGGGTGCAGGGGGCGGGGCCTCGTTGCTCACCGTCCGGGGGCGGAGCTTCCGGTCTCCTCGGGGTGGGATTCGGCTTCCGGGGGTCTGAGACGGGAAATGAAATAAATGCGGGGCCCAGCCCCGCCCCGGCCACGCCCATCCCCGCCCCGACCACGCCCAGCCCCGGAATGCGCGGGGAATCCCCCACTGACTCACGGCCTTGGCCCTAGGGCGTGGCCCCGGGGTCCTGAGGGCGTGGCCGGGGTCTCCGGGGGTCTCTGGGGTCGTGGCCACGCCCTCCCCGCGCCCCCGGCCCCGCCCTGCCCCGCACGCCGCGGGCACCGAACTCCTACGCGTCCGCCGCGGCCCCGCGCGCCCCGCCCTCCGCCCCGAGCGGGGTCCCCGCGCCCCCCGGGCCCCGCCCCGGCCCCCGCTCACCCTGAGCCGCCCCGGGCGACCCCAGCAGCAGCAGCAGCAGCGCCGCGGCGACCACGAGCGAGGCCATGACCGGCGGGGTCGGGGTAAGGGGCGGGGCCGCGGGACGCAGCGCGGGAGGGCGGGGCGGGACACGCCCACCGCGGCGGGGCGGGGAAACGGCGTCAGCGAGAGTCGGATGGAAACCACGCCCCTCATTAGCATGTCCACGCCACGCGCCGGTGACAACCACGTAAACCACGCCCCCTCGTTAGCATAGGCGCGCAGGCCCCGCCCCTCCCTGAGCGCCCGCCGCTGCCCTGCACGGAGCGACCGCGGCGACCACGCCCCCTCATTTACATGTCCCCGCCCCAGCACGACCGCCATTGCTGTATGTAAATGAGGGGAGGAGCCCGGCAGCAGCGCGCGCGTGGACTCCGCACCCCGGCCTCATGAGTGATTGACTCTAGCAGGACGTCCCGCCCCCCTACGTCCGGTTGCGGGATTCCCGGCGCGGACGCCGCGCGATGTTTACCGCCGTGACGCACAGCGCTGCTCCCGCTCGAGAGCGGAAGTCCCGCACTCTGAGTTCCGGGTGAGGTTTTCCTAGATCCTGTGCGTTGCTTATCGCCCTGAGTGACAGTCTGATTGTTAGTGTGCACCGGAAGTCCCTCCCTCTGATTTCCTGTCCACATTTTCTCATTGTTGTGCGTTATTTCTTGCCTAGACTGACACCCAGATGCCACGTCTGTCCCGGAAGTTCCGCCCTCTACTTCCTGTCGCACTTTCCTGAGGCACCGTGCGTTATTTCTCGCCGTGACTGACATTCTGTTCCCCCGTCTCCCCCGGAAGTCCCTCCCCTGGCTTCCTGTCCCCGTTTTCTTCTTCCCCGCGCGATACATCTCGCCCTGACCGACAGCCACATGGAACGTCTCTCCCGGAAGTGCCACCTTCTGACTTCCTGTCCTGGGTTTCGCAGTCCTCGCGCATTATTTCTTGCCCTGACCGACTCCCCGGCCTCTAGTCTCCCAAGGAAGTCCCTCCCCGTGACTTCCGGTACCCGTTTTCTCCTCCCCCGTGCGTTATTTCTGACCCTGATTGACGCCTGGGCCGCTGCCCCGGAAGTCCCGCCCCCTCACTTCCTTTCACCGTTTTATCATTCCCGCGCGTTATTTCATGCCCTGACCGACACCCCGGCATCTAGTCTCACACGGAAATCCCTCCCCGTGACTTCCGGTAACCGTTTTCTCCGGCCCCGCGCGTTATTTCTGACCCTGACGAACACCCCGGCCGCTGCCCCGGAAGTCCCACCCCCTGACTTCCTTTCACAGACCCCGTGCGTTATTTCTGACCCTGATTGACGTCCCGGCCACTGCCACGGAAGTCCCGCCTTCTGACTTCCGCTCCCCGCTCTCCCGGGCTCCCCGGTGTACGCGGGCGGAAGGGGCGGTGACTTCCGGGCTCCCGGCGTGCGCGGCCGGAAGGGGCGGTGACTTCCGGGACCGGGCCGGGCCCCGCTTGCCCTGGGCGTCTCCGTGCTCGGCGCTGGGCGGCGGCGGCTGCGGGGTCGGCGGGGCCCGGGCCGGGGTCGCGGGGCGGTGGGCGTGGCCCGGGGCGGTGGGCGTGGCCCGGGTGGGCGGGGCGATGCAGGCGCTGGTGTCGCCCGTGACGAAGGCGCTGCTGGTGGCGCTGTTCATCCTGGCGATCCTGCTCATCCTCTACGTCATCCTGTGGTACATCTGCCGCGACGTGGACTGCGACCACGGGCTGTGACCACGCCCGGACACGCCCGGACCACGCCCCGAGACGCCCGGACCACGCCCGACCACGCCCCGAGACGCCCGGAGCCGCGCGCGGTAAATGCACGGAGATGCACCAGAAATGCATGCAAATCACATGCAAATTTATTCTAATCATATGCAAATCAGACGCAAATCTATGCCACGGGGTGGGGTGACGCCCAAGCCCCGCCCCTGCGGCCACTGCGACCCTGAGGCTGCAGAAAAAACGCGATTCTTGTTATTATTATGACTATGTCGGGATACATGGAAATGCACGCACGTTTTATGCAAATTCACGCAAAATCGCATTCTAATTATATGCAAATTTCATGCAAATGCACGCGGGCCGCCGGGTGATGCCACTAACCCCGCCCCTGCGCCCCTGAGGCTGCAAAAACTCGAGATTCTGTGTCGGGGCGCATGGAGGGGTTTGCAGATTGTATGCAAATATTATGCAAATTATGCATGCAAATTTTATGTAGACTATATGCATTTGTCTGCGGGAGGACGTGCTGACGCCCCAAGCTCCGCCCCTGCGACCCCAGTGACCCTGAGGATGCACGAAAACTCGATTCTACTTCGGGGTGCATGGAGGTTTATGCAGGTTTATGCAAATTTTATGCAAATTTTTGCGCCTTTGTACGTCTAGATGAGGAAATGAGGAGCAGGAGCCATGCCCCATGTGACCCCGTGACGTCAGCGTGACCCCCAAGGGCGACTGGAAGGTGAGGAAGGCGGGGATCAGGTCCCACATCCAAGCACGGTGGGTAAATGTATGCAAATGCACGCAATCGTATGCTAATCACATGCAAACCTGCAGGCCGAAGGGGCGGAGCCTCTAGCCCCGCCCCGGTGACCCCGAGGATGCAAAAAACCCGATTCCAAGGCGGGGTGCATGGAAGTGTATGCAAATGCTATGCAAATTTTATGCTGATTTGGGTGGCTTTTCTATTTGTAGGTGCGGAAATGAGGCGACGGAGCCACGCCCACGTGACCCCGTGACCTCTGGGTGACACCAGACAGCAGGGAAGGTGAGGAAGGTGGGGGTCAGAGACCCGGATTGAGAGGTGGAGGGTAAAACCTGTGCAAATGTATGCAGATTTATGCAAATTCATTCATAATCATTACTGTTTATCTAGACATCTGTGTTATTATTATTATTATCATCACTGTTTATCTAGACGTCTGTGTTATTATTATTATTATTATCATCACTGTTTATCTAGACGTCTGTGTTATTATTATTATTATTATCATCACTGTTTATCTAGACATCTGTGTTATTATTATTATTATCATCACTGTTTATCTAGACGTCTGTGTTATTATTATTATTATTATCATCACTGTTTATCTAGACGTCTGTGTTATTATTATTATCATCACTGTTTATCTAGACGTCTGTGTTATTATTATTATTATTATCATCACTGTTTATCTAGACGTCTGTGTTATTATTATTATTATTATCATCACTGTTTATCTAGACGTCTGTGTTATTATTATTATTATCATCACTGTTTATCTAGACGTCTGTGTTATTATTATTATTATTATCATCACTGTTTATCTAGACGTCTGTGTTATTATTATTATTATTATCATCACTGTTTATCTAGACGTCTGTGTTATTATTATTATTATCACTGTTTATCTAGACGTCTGTGTTATTATTATTATTATCATCACTGTTTATCTAGACGTCTGTGTTATTATTATTATTATTATCATCACTGTTTATCTAGACGTCTGTTATTATTATTATTATCATCACTGTTTATCTAGACGTCTGTGTTATTATTATTATTATCATCATCACTGTTTATCTAGACGTCTGTGTTATTATTATTATCATCATCACTGTTTATCTAGACGTCTGTGTTATTATTATTATCATCACTGTTTATCTAGACGTCTGTGTTATTATTATTATTATCATCATCACTGTTTATCTAGACGTCTGTGTTATTATTATCATCACTGTTTATCTAGACATCTGTGTTATTATTATTATTATCATCACTGTTTATCTAGACGTCTGTGTTATTATTATTATTATCATCATCACTGTTTATCTAGACGTCTGTGTTATTATTATTATTATTATCATCATCACTGTTTATCTAGACGTCTGTGTTATTATTATTATCATCACTGTTTATCTAGACGTCTGTGTTATTATTATTATTATCATCATCACTGTTTATCTAGACGTCTGTGTTATTATTATTATCATCACTGTTTATCTAGACGTCTGTGTTATTATTATTATTATTATCATCACTGTTTATCTAGACGTCTGTGTTATTATTATCATCATCACTGTTTATCTAGACGTCTGTGTTATTATTATTATTATTATTATCACTGTTTATCTAGACGTCTGTGTTATTATTATTATTATCATCACTGTTTATCTAGACGTCTGTGTTATTATTATTATTATCATCACTGTTTATCTAGACGTCTGTGTTATTATTATTATTATCATCATCACTGTTTATCTAGACGTCTGTGTTATTATTATTATTATTATCATCACTGTTTATCTAGACGTCTGTGTTATTATTATTATTATCACTGTTTATCTAGACGTCTGTGTTATTATTATTATTATCATCATCACTGTTTATCTAGACGTCTGTGTTATTATTATTATTATTATCATCACTGTTTATCTAGACGTCTGTGTTATTATTATTATTATCACTGTTTATCTAGACGTCTGTTATTATTATTATTATTATTATCATCACTGTTTATCTAGACGTCTGTGTTATTATTATTATCACTGTTTATCTAGACGTCTGTGTTATTATTATTATTATTATCATCACTGTTTATCTAGACGTCTGTGTTATTATTATTATTATTATCATCACTGTTTATCTAGACGTCTGTTATTATTATTATTATTATTATCATCACTGTTTGTCTAGACGTCTGTGTTATTATTATCATCACTGTTTATCTAGACGTCTGTGTTATTATTACTCATCTCATTTGCATATAATTTGCATGGATCCTCCCCAGATTTTGAATTTCTGGGCTAACCGTTGGGTCATTTGCATGTCATTTGAATCTCATTTGCATGTCCCTCCCCTTCCCGACCGCACACAATGCCTCGGCTTCTCATTCGCATATGTTTTGCATGGCTCCGCCCCTATGGCCTAATTTGCATATATGCTAATCGCGCTTTTTTCTCTCCGCCCAGGGTCTCCATGGACGCCCGAGGCCGCCCCCCGATGACGTCACGCGCGGCCCCGCCCACCGCCCCGCCCATCATCTCCACGAAGCCATGACGACGGGGCGGGGCCTCCGGGGGCGTGGCTAACCCTCGCCCGGCCACGCCCTCCGCCCATCTCACGCCCCGCCCCCGTCTCGCTCAGCTCACGTGCCTGGCCCCGCCCCGCCCCGCCGTGACCCCCTGACCCCGTGACGTCGCCCGCCCGCCTCATTTTCTACCCGGCGTCGTCACTTCCGCCCGGGGCTGCGGGGGTGGGGGAGGGGCGGGGGCGGGGCCATCGTCGCCGAGTCAATCATAGTGATGATAATAATAATAAAAATCGATATTTTTGAGGCCCCGCCCACTCGTCAGGGGATTGGGGGATCGGGGGCCACGCCCACGGCTGTCAGTCACCTCGGGGGCCACGCCCACAGCCGCGTGGAGCCCCAGGATGGGTCCATCAACGCCTTAGCCCCGCCCACCGCAGTCAATCAGCGCCCAGGTCACGCCCACCGCCGTCAATCAGCGCCCAGGCTCCGCCCACCGCCGTCCATCCGCGCCTAGGCCCGCCCACAGCCGTCAATCAATTCCTTAGCCCCGCCCAGCGCCGTCAATCCGCTCGAAGGCCCCGCCCACGGCTTTCAGTTCCCTCAATCAGTGCCCGGGCTCCGCCCACCGCCGTCAATCCGCCCCCAAGCCCCGCCCACTGCCGCGGAGAACCCCGGATGAGTCAATCAGTGCCAGGCCCCGCCCACCGCCGTCAGTGCCGTCAGTCAGCTCCCAGGGCCCTCCCACCGCCGTCAGTGCCGTCAGTCAGCTCCCAGGCCCCGCCCACCGCCGTCAGTGCCGTCAATCAGTCCCACGGCCCCGCCCAACGTCGCATTCCCGGTTGACCGGCGCCCCAGGAGGCGGGACCGGAAGTGAGGGGGCGGGGCCGCCATGTCCGCGCTGCTCGCCGCCCTCCGGGCCACCGTCCTGGCCTACGCCGTGGGCGCCGCCGTCCTCTTCCGGCAGCTGCTGCGGCGCCTGCGCGGGGGCTTCCGGCCGCCGGGTGAGTGACGCGGGGCCCGCGGGGGGCGGCGGGGGCGACCCCGGGGCAGGGACGGGCGCTGGGGTCTCCGGCGGGGGCGCGCGGCGCGGACTTCCGGTGAGCGCGCTGGACCGGAAGCGCCGGATTAGCCATGATTGTTGAGGGCGCCCGCTTTCTGAGCACCGGAAGTGGCTGTGGCGGGGTTTTCCTGGCCTCCGCGATGCCGCGCGTTTCCGGTCCGCCGTTGTCCTCTGCGGGTTCCCCGGGTGCCTTCAGAAATTTCCCAAAATTTCAGTTTCTCCCGGGGAATTTGTGGGTGAGCTTTGCCCTTACCGGAAGTGCAATGTCTCCCATATTTCTTGAGGGCAGTTCCTGTGTTTGTGTGGGCACCGGAAATTCCACTCCCGCCATGTTTGTTGTGGGAGGAAGCGCTCCCGAAACCTGAAGTCGCCCTGCATCCGTTTCCCCCTCGTCTAGGGGCCCCGATTCGGGTTCCCCTCGTTTCCCATCCGCCCACCGCGCCGCCAGGGTCCCCGGATGTCACCCGACTCCATCCCCAACCCCCGGAAACGAGCCAACCCCGGGCTTTTCCCAGCATGCAGCGCTTCGGGAGCTTTGCCAGCACCGGAAGCGTCTCTTCCGCCATCTTTGTTGAGGGAAATCACAGTCCGTCGTTTTTCATTAATTTTTCTTTTTCAAGCAAAAAAAAAAAAACAAGACTAAAATGGGTCAAAGGTCGGGGTCGCCGCGTTGTTCGGTGCATTAAATTTTGGTTTTTGAAAGTTAGTTCATCGCTTTCACAGGGGATTAAAACAAAAATGCAATAAAAACAAATTTATTTCGCCCCACAAACCCGAAAGTAAAAAAAAAATGAAAACACAGCAGAGCCGCGAACGGCGGGAAAACGCGGAAAACGAAATTTTAGTTTCTTAATTTTTATTCAGTAATTTTTTGCAAGACGTAAATAAGTTGAACGCAAAGCAAAACCCAAAGGTTGGAGCCAAAAATAAAAAATAAGAAAAACAGGGTTGGACGGAAGCGGATTCTTGGTTTTTTTACCCCTTTTTACTGGAGAAAATAAAAAGAATAAGAAGGGAATCAGAAAACAGGGAGGAAAAATAAATTAGATTCGGGGGGAAATGAATTATTCTGATTGGAAAAAAATAGGGAAAAACCAGAAAAGAAAAAGAAAAACTTTTTTGAGGTAGGAAACTTGGGTTTTCCTCCTCTAAACCAAACAACAATAATGAAAACTAAAGCGCCGAGGGCTCCGTTCTCTCCACAGACGATAAATAAGGAAAAAACAAAAACCGGGAGCCGCAGGAAATAAACCCGAAAACAAAACCCAGGCGCCGCGGCCACTGATTCTGTCTCACAGAGACTCAGGGGGGGAAAAGCGGTGAGAATCGACGGAAAATCAACTTTTTCTCTGTGTCCCAAACGCAGTAAAATAAAACCCGGGGAGAAATAAATTCACTGAAAGCCTCGGGCGAGGAGTTTTCCCCGGGAAACAAACGGGGGGAGAGGAAAGAAAAAAAAAACTGAGATCTGAATGTTTTCGTGAATTTGTTTGGTTTATTTTGGCGGGGGAATTAATTTCTGTTTTGTTTCTTTTTTTTAATTTCATATAAAATGTAAATAATAAAAAAGGGGAAAATAGAATAGAAAGTGAGAGGAATGGATTTAAAAAAAAAGTAAATAAACAGGGAAACAAAACCAAAAATAAAAATACCTCATAGAAAAAAAGAAACCGGAAACCTAAGGGAAACGAAAAAACGGAACCAAGAGTTTCGGACTTTTCCCGGAAGCCAAAAATAACGTAAAACTGGAAAAGAAAAATTAAGAAATTAACACATAAACCAAAAAAAAATTCCAATGAAAGTCAGTTTTCTCCATAGAAATAAAAATGAATGAAAACAGCAGAGAAGTAAATAAATGAATTAAAACCGGGAAAAAATTAATTACTTAAAATAAAAACCACACGCAACCGAGAAAAACAAAAACCAGGGCTTTAGAAACCAAAACTGCGCGAGGTCAGATTTTTCTGAGCAGGAAACAAGTAACGGAGACAGAAAAGGAAACAATGAGGAAACGTCAGGGAAATAAAGCGAGGAAACCGGAACCCGGACTCAAACCCGGAAATGGGAGGCGGCTTTTTCGTTTCTTCCTTTTTCCTTTTTGGGAACAGGGCAGAAACTGAGACCGGGAGGAGTGGAATCTTCTTACAGAACAGAATTAGAGGTGCGCGAGACTGAAAGATTAATAATATTATCTTTGCAAAGATACAAATCTAACCCTGAATTCGTGGGAGGTGAAGTTTTTTTCCTTTTCACGCGCCGAAAAAAACCAGAATTAAAAGTGCGGGAGGTGAAATAATTTCAGAGAAGCAAAAAACAGACAAACAAAAAAAAAATGAAAGCAAAAAACCAGAGTTAAAAGTGTGAGACGTGAAATTATGTTACACGAAAAATTAATAACAGAGGACGGAGGGAGAAAGGAATCTCACGTTAGATTTCCTTAAGAGAATAAAAACACGTAAAGCAACAAAAGATAAATGAAGATAAAATAAAAAGTGTAACTAGGAAACAGTTTCCCAGAGAACAGAAAACTGAAAGCGAAATATTAAAAAGTGAGCGATAATCAATGTGATGTCGCAAATCGGTTCACAGAGACCAGAAAAACTAAATAAATAAAATAAAACTTAAAACCGTGAGGCGTCGTATTATTTTACTCTACAAAAATCCACGCTACGGGGGCAGAATTTTTGCCGCAACCAAAAAAAAAAAAGAAGAATCACAAATGAGAAAATTAATTAATTTCATGACACTGATTTAAATGGATTTAATTAGTGTGAGGAAAAAATTAAGATAACAAAACGGAAAAAAAAACCAGAATTACAACGCAAACGCCGCGCGCGAGGAATCCGTTTCCTCCCCGCATCGAACCCCGGAGAAAGAATAAAAAGTGAAAAACAATAAATCAGACGCGGGGGAGGAAATTTAATCTTTTTTACCCAAAACCAAAAGCAGAAGTGAGGAAAATAAAGGAAAAAGACAACAGGAAAAGGAGGAAATGAAGTCATTCGCTGCGGGGAAACCGAGGACATAAATGAAAACAGGAAAACAGAGACAAGGGAACGGGCGGGGCTGCGACTTCCGCCCGGAAGTGCGAGGGAACAGCGAATGGAACCGGAAGTAGCCGGAAGTAACGCGGTTTCCCAAGGAAAGTGGGTGGAAAACGGGGAAACTGAGGTAAAACCGCGAGGATTTCATGAAAAAACGGAAAAAGGAAACAGGGCGTGGCGGGGGCGTGGCTGGGCGTGGCTGGGCGTGGCTGGGCGTGGCTGGGCGTGGCGGGGGCGTGGCCTCCACCCCAAAGGGGGAAAAACAAAGCAAACGTAACGGAAATGGCGGGAAACCAATGTTATTATTATGTTTTTATTATCGTTGTGACCCTGACCCCGCCCTGACCCCGCCCGGCCCCGCCCTCCCCGCAGAGCTCCGCCCCCAGCCCGGCCGCGTCGCCATCGTCACGGGCGGCACCGACGGCATCGGCCGCGCCACCGCCACGCAGCTGGCGGCACTGGGCATGGGCGTGGTCATCGGTGAGTCCCGCTTCCGGGTGCGGGCGGTGGGCGGGGCCGCACTTCCGGGTGAAATCAGAGGGCGGGGCCGCACTTCCGGTTGAAATCAGAGGGCGGGGCCCCACTTCCGGTTGAAATCAGAGGGCGGGGCCTCACTTCCGGGTGAAATCAGAGGGCGGGGCCGCACTTCCGGTTGAAATCAGAGGGCGGGGCCGCACTTCCGGTTGAAATCAGAGGGCGGGGCCTCACTTCCGGGTGAAATCAGAGGGCGGGGCCGCACTTCCGGGTGATATCAGAGGGCGGGGCCCCACTTCCGGTTGAAATCAGAGGGCGGGGCCTCACTTCCGGGTGAAATCAGAGGGCGGGGCCCCACTTCCGGTTGAAATCAGAGGGCGGGGCCCCACTTCCGGGTACGGGAAACAGACGGGGACCCATTTCCGGGTACACGCGGTGGGCGGGGCCCCACTTCCGGGTAAACGGAGAGGTCGGGGCCTCACTTCCCGGTCGGGTGGGGCAGGGGCGGGGCCCGGGGGTCGATTTTTTTTTTCCTCTTTTGCAGCCGCCAACGACGAGGCCAAAGGTCAGGAGGTCGCGGCCCAGATCCGGGCGGAGACGGAGAACGAGAACGGTGGGCGTGGCCGGGGTGGGCGGGGCCCGGTGGGCGGGGCCGGGTGGGCGTGGCCGGGGTGGGCGTGGCCGGGAACCTCCCTGTCTGTCTCTGGCGTGGGCGTGTCCCCTCTGGCGTGGGCGTGTCCCCTCTGGCGTGGGCGTGTCCCCTCTGGCGTGGGCGTGTCCCCGCGCTGACCCCGCCCCGCCCGGCCCCGCCCCGCAGTGCGCTTCCTGCCCCTGGACCTCGCCTCCCTGGCCTCCGTGCGGAAGTTCGCGCGCGACTTCCTGTCCCTGGGGCTCCCGCTGCACGCGCTGGTGAACAACGGTGAGCGCGGCCCCGCCCCGGCCACGCCCTGCCACGCCCCGGCCCCGCCTCGGCCACGCCCCGCCCCGGCCCCGCCCAGTGCAAGCAAACCAGGGGGAGAATGCGAGTTAGACGCATGCAAATGAGGCGTCAGGATATGCAAATGAGGGCCCTATGCAAACGAGGGGGCGGGGCCAGCTCTCCCGGGGTCTCTGAGCCCAGATTGGGGAAACGATGACGTCATGGGGGCGGAGCCAGGGCGGGCGATCTGCATATCCGGCCCCTCATTTGCATATCCGCAGCCAGATCGAGGGAGGCGGAGCGGGAGATTTGCATATTCACGACCTCATTTGCATATCCGACGCCCATCCGCTGGGTCTCACGTCTCATCTGCATATCCGGCCCCTCATTTGCATATCCGCTGTCTGAGTGGGGGCGCAGAGCGGGGATTTGCATATTCATGGGTTCATTTGCATACCCGACGCCCATCCGCTGGGTTGTGAGCCTCATTTGCATATCCGGGCTCATTTGCATATTCGTTTGCATACCCGGGATCTCAGGGGTTTCATTGGGGTTTATGTAAATGAGTGGGCGGGGCTAGTGACACAAGGCTGTGACTGACAGGTTCTCCATGTCTCCGCCCCGTTTCCCCCCACTTCCGCCCCGTTTCCCCCCACTTCCTCTTCACTTCCGCCCCGTTTCCCCCCCACTTCCTCTTCACTTCCGCCCCGTTTCCCCCCACTTCCGCCCCGCCCAGCGGGCGTGATGCTGGCGGCGCCGGGCGCGACCCCCGACGGCTTCGAGCCGCACCTGGGCGTGAACTTCCTGGGCCACTTCCTGCTCACGCGGCTGCTGCTGGGGCGGCTGCGGGCGTCGGCTTCGCGGGGTCGGAGGTCGCGCGTGGTGACCCTGGCCTCGGCCACGCACTACGTGGGGCGGATCCGCCCCGAGGACGTCGGGCGGGGCAGGTGGGCGTGGCCGCGGGCGTGGTGGGCGGGGCGGGTGGGCGTGGCCGCGGGCGTGGTGGGCGGGGCGGGTGGGCGTGGCCTAGGGAGCCGGGCGGGGTCACGGGTGTCAGGGGTCAGAGTGGGACCAGGTTGGACTCGTCGGGGTGGGGCGGGGCGACAGGAAGTGGGCGTGGCTGGGCAGGAAGTGGTTCCTGGAGGAGCAGGAAGTGGACAGGAAGTGAGGAATCGGGCGGGGCGGGTGCAGACACAGGGTTGAGGGACAGGAAACGGGTGGGAACAAACCGGAAGTGGGCGTGGCCAACCCGGAAGTGGGCGTGGCCAACCCGGAAGTGGGCGTGGCCAACCCGGAAGTGGGTGTGGGCGGACCGGAAGTGGGCGTGGCCGGACCGGAAGTGGGCGTGGCCGGACCGGAAGTGGGCGTGGCCGGCCCGGAAGTGACCGCGCCCCTCCCCGCAGCCCCGCCCCGCCCGCCCACGCCGCCTACGCCCGCAGCAAGCTGGCCCTGGTGCTGTTCGCGCGGCGGCTGCAGCGGCTCCTGGCGGCCCGGGGCGACCCCGTGACCTCGGGCGTGGCCGACCCGGGCGTGGCGGACACCGCCCTCTTCCGGAACGCGGGGTGGGGCCTGCGTGCGGCCCGGGCGCTGCTGGGCGGGGCCGCGTTCAAGGTGAGCAGCGGCGGGCGGGGCCGGGCGGGGCCGGGCGGGGCCGGGCGGGGCCGGGGAGGGAAACTGGGCGTGGCGAGCGCTGACCACGCCCCCGTGTCCGACCCCGCCCACCCGCAGACCCCCGAGGAGGGGGCGTGGACCTCGGTGCTCCTGGCCGCCGCCCCGGCCCCGCCCTGCGGCTACGTGGTGGACGAGGCCCCGGCCACGCCCCTCGCGCTCACCGGGGAGGCGGGGCTGCAGGACGCGGTGTGGGCGGCGGCCGAGCGCGCGGTGGGCGGGGCCGGCGAGGAGGAGGCGTGGCCGGAGCCGCCGCCCGGATGGAGCCACGCCCAGGAGGACGCAGAGACGGAGCCACGCCCACGGGAGCCACGCCCACGGGAGCCACGCCCACGCCCTTGACGTGACGGATGCGGAGCCACGCCCACGGGAGCCACGCCCACGCCCTTGACGTGACGGATGCGGAGCCACGCCCACCGATGCTGCGGCCACGCCCCGGAAGTCACCACGCCCACCACAGCCTTGGCCACGCCCTGTGACCACGCCCACAGCAGACTGGACCCCGCCCACGCCCTGCGGCCCCACCCAGGGCCCCAACTTCCTGTTATGAGGGCGGCGGCCACGCCTTTCCGCGGAGCCCCGCCCCCGCCGCTCCCAAACCACGCCCACTTCTGCGTCTCCCAATGGAGAAAGGCGTCCGGGGTTGTGATGTCATCACTGGGGCGGGGCTGCGGGGGTGGGCGGGGTTTGTGAGGCCCGGAGGCGTGGCCGAAGCTAAGCCACGCCCCCTTTGTCTGGGAAACCACGCCCACTTTTCTACATTACAATTCGTAGGCGCTTACATACATGTGTGTACGTGTGCTTATGTGATCATCTGCATTCGTGTGTTCGCATGTGTTCTACCCATGTCTGTGCGCGCGCGTTTGCCTGTGTGCGTGTGTTCACGTGTCCTCGTGTATGTTCACATGTTTATGTGATGTGTTTGCACGTGCATGGGTTCTGTGTGCCGGAACATGTGTGCACATGCGTGTTTCCGTTTGTAAGTGTGTGTCCCCATACCCCCGTCCTCCCGTGAGCCCCGCTGACGGGGGATGTGTGTGCTTTGTGTGTGTGCGCACATGTATGAACACGCATGTGTTCCTGGGTTTCCAGCCGTTTCTGTGTCTGGGAGTTTCCTGGCCGTCTCAGGACACACACGGTTTCCTGTGCACGTATGTGTCCGCGTGTGTGGTGCTTGTGGCGACGGGAACACGCTACATGCGATTTCCACGTGTGGAAGAAACGATCAATAAATGTGAAACCAGACATCCGCGGATTCCGTGTTTCTCGTCAGAGCCACAGAAAGACGCCGCTAAGAAAGAACTAAAAAAGAACATGCCTCACGGAGAGGTCACGGGATAACACGCCTAGACACGCTAGGGGAGCATACAAACAACAAACAGGTTTAACCCCTGGAGACGTGTACAATTAACACAGGAAACACGGAAATCATGGATTTAACAGGCAATCATTGGATTAACACGGGAAACACAATTAACATGGAAAACACGGAATTAACACTGGATTCATGGAATTAACACGGGATTAATAGGATTAACACAGGAAACATGGAAATAATGGAATTAACATGGAAACACAGAAATCACAGGAAACATGGGATTAATTTGGGAAACACGGGATTAACACAGGAAACAATTAACATGGGAACATGTGATTAACATGGGAAACACGGAAATTATGGGGGTAATATGGAAACCATGGAATTAACACGGGAAACATGGAATTAACAAGGGAAACACGGAGTTAACATGGAAAACATTAAATTAACATGGGAAACATGGAATTAACACAGAAACGTGGAATTAACATGGGAATCATGGAATTAACATGGGACACATGTAATTAACATGCGAAAATGGAATTCATACGGGAAACATGGGATTAACACGTAAAGCACAGAATTAACACAGAAACATGGGAAATACGGAATTAACACAGGAAACACTCAATTAACATGGGAAAAACAGAAATCATGGAATTAACACTAGAGACACGGAAATCACGGGATTAACACGGAAAACACAGAATTAACATGGAAAACATGGAATTAAAACAGAAACACGGGAAAATTGGAAATCATGGGATTAACACAGAAAACACAATATTAACACGAGAAACAAGGGATAAACACGGAAATCACAGAATTAACACGGGAAACATGGAAAACATGCGAAACATGGAATAAACACAGAAACCTGGATTTAACACTGGAAACACGAAAATCACGGGATTAACATGGAAATCTTGGAATTCACACAGGAAAACATGGAATTAACATGGGAAACACGGAAAACACAGAATTAACACAGAAACACGGAATCAGCACAGAAACATGTAATTCACATGGGAAACATGGGATCAACTTTGGAAAAATGGAATTAACACAGGAAACATGGAATTCACATGGGAAACACGGAAATCATGGAGTCAACATGGAAAACACACAAATCACGGAATTAACATGGGAAACATGGAATTAACATGGAAAACACGGGATAAACATGGGAAACACGGGATTACAACGGGAAACACGGAATCAACACTGGAAACACGGAAATCATGGATTAACACGGAAAACACGAAATTAACACGAGGAACACGGGATTAACAAGGAAACATGGAAATCATTGAATTAACACAGAAACATGGAATTAACAAGGGATAAACCCGGAACACATGGAATTTACATGGGATTAACACGGAAATCATGGAATTAACGGGGGAACATGGAAATCAGGTTTAACACGGGAAACACGGGATTAACATGGGAAACACGGAAAACACAGAATTAACACAGACACACGGAAAACATGAAATTAACACGGGAAAATGGATTTAACACAGGAAACGGAATTAACACGGGAAACACAGAAATCACAGGATTAACACAGGAAACTCAAAATTATGGGGAACACGTAATTAACATGGGAAAATGAAATTAATATGGGAAACATGGGGTTAACATGGAAAACATGGAATTAACACAGAAACATGAAATTAACACGGGAAAGATGGAATTAACACAGGAAACACGGGATTACACGGAAACACGGAATTAACACAGAAAGTTGGAATTAACAGGGGAAACATGGAATTAACATGGGAAACACGGGATTAACACAGGAAACATAAATCACAGAATTAACACAGGGAACATGGAATTAACATGGGAAACATGGCAAATCATGGTATTAACATGGGAAACATGGGATTAACTCAGAGATCATGGGATTAACACGGGAAACACAGAAATCATGGAATTAACATGGGAATCATGGGATGAACATGCGAAACTTGGAATAAACACAGAAACATGGATTAACATTGGAGACACGTAAATCACGGGATTAACACGGGAAACTCACAATTAACACTGAAACACAGAAATCACAGAATTAACATGGGAGACACGGGATTAATACAGCAATCATAGAAATCACGGGGTTAACAAAGAAAACATGGAATTAACACAGGAAACAAGGAAATCATGGAATTAACACGGGAATACGGAATTAACTAGGGAAACACGGAATTAACAGAGAGATCATGGAATTAACACGGAAAACACAGAATTAACTTAGGAAACATGGAAATCATGGGATTAACACAGAAACATGGAATTAACACCGGAAACATGGAAATCACGGATTAACATGGAAAACACAGAATTAATACGAGAATTATAGAAATCACGGGGTTAAAGAAAACATGGTTTTAACACGGGAAACATGGAATTAAAACAGAAACGGAATTAACACGGGAAAATTGGAAATCATGGGATTAACACGGAAAACACGATATTAACACGAGGAACACGGGATAAACACAGAAATCACGGAATTAACACAGAATTAACACGGGAAACATGGAAATCACGGAATTAACACAGAGAACATGGAATTAACATGGAAAACACAGAAATCACGGCATTAACATGGGAAACATGGAATTAACATGGGATTCATGGAATTAACACAGGAAACATGGAAATAATAGAATTAACGCGGGAAACAGAATTAACATGGAAGTAACACGGAAACACGGGAAATATGGAATTAACATGGTAAAATGGAATTAATATGAGAAACATGGGATTAACATGGAAATCAAGGGATTAACATGGGAAACACCGAGTTAACATGAGAAACACGGGATAAACATGGGAAACATGGAATTAACATGGGAAATACGGAAATAACATGGCATTGACACAGAAACACGGGAAACATGGGATTAACGTGGGAAACATTGAAATCACAGGAACACGAATTTAACACAGGAAACATGGAATTCACATGGGAAACACACAAAACATGGAATTAACCCAGGAAACACAGAATTAACATGGGAAACATGGAATTAACATGTGTAACATTGAAATCATGGGATTAACATGGGAAACATGGAAAACACGTAATTAACACAGGAATCATAGAAATCACGGGGTTAACAAAGAAAACATGGAATTTACACTGGAAACATGGAATTAACATGGAAAACATGAAATTAACATGGGAAATAAGGAATTAACATGGAAGGCATGGCAATGAACACGGAAACATGGAATTTGGAAACATGGAAATCATGGGATTAACACAGAAACATGGAATTAACACAGGAAACATGGAAATCACGGAATTATCACAGAAACATGGAATTAACATGGGAAACACAGAAATCACGGAATTAACATAGGAAACACGGAATTAACACAGGAAACATGGAATTAACATGGGAAACATGGAATTAACATGGGAAACATGGAATTAATATGGGAAACATGGAATTAACACAGAAACATGGAATTAACACGGGAAACATGGAATTAACACAGGAAACACGGGATTACACAGAAACACGGAATTAACACAGAAAGTTGGAATTAACAGGGGAAACATGGAATTAACATGGGAAACACGGGATTAACATGGGAAACGGAAATCACAGATTAACACGGAAAACACGAAATTAACACGAGAAACACGGGATTAATAAGGAAACATGGAATTCACCCAGGAAACATGGGATTAACATGGGAAACATGGAATTAACATGGGAAAAATGGAAATCACAGAATTAACACAGGAAACACGGAATTGATATGGGAAACATGGAATTATCACAGGAAACATGCAAAACACAGAATTAACACGGGAATCATGGAATTAACATGGAAAACATGGGATTAATACAGAAACATGGAATTAACACAGTAACATGCAATTAACACAGAAACATGGAATTAACATGGAAATCACAGGAATAACACAGAAACATGGAATTAACACAGGAAACACAGAATTAACACGGAATTAACAAGGGAAACACGGAATTTACCCAGGAAACATGGAATTATCATGGGGAACATGTAATTAACATGGGAAAATGGAATTAATATGGGAAACATAGAATTAACACAGAAACATGGAATTAACACGGGAAACATGGAATTAACACAGGAAACACGGGATTACACAGAAACACGGAATTAACACAGAAAGTTGGAATTAACAGGGGAAACATGGAATTAACATGGGAAACACGGGATTAACATGGGAAACGGAAATCACAGATTAACACGGAAAACACGAAATTAACACGAGAAACACGGGATTAATAAGGAAACATGGAATTCACCCAGGAAACATGGGATTAACATGGGAAACATGGAATTAACATGGGAAAAATGGAAATCACAGAATTAACACAGGAAACACGGAATTGATATGGGAAACATGGAATTATCACAGGAAACATGCAAAACACAGAATTAACACGGGAATCACGGAATTAACATGGGAAACACGAAATTAACATAGAAAACACGGAATTAACATGGAAACCATGGAAATCAAACGGGAAATATGGAATTAGCAGGAAATCACGGTATTAACACAGGAAACATGGGATTAACAGGGAAACATGGAATTAACACGGGAAACATGGAATTAGCCCCGAAATCAAGGGATTAACACAGGAACATAGGTTTAACACAGGAAACACGAAAAAAACGGGATTCACAGGGAAACATGGAAATCACGGAATTAACATGGGAAACATGGAATTAACAGGGGAAACACGAAAATCATGGGATTAAAATGGAAACATGAAATTAACACAGGAAACACAGAAATCATGGGATTAACATGGGAAGCATGGGATAAACATCTGCATCACGGAATAAACACAGAAACATTGATTAACACTGGATACACGGAAATCACGGGATTAACACAGAAAACATG